ATAGATCTTCGTTGTCGTGTTCACCAAGCTCGTATAGGTCTTCCCAATCGGTGTCTTGAAGAGGAGTGTAAGAAGGTCCCTGAGCCCAACAGACAACAGGAAATAGGATAACCCCAACGGGAGGGTCGTTTGTTAATGACAGGGTGATAGAGACTAGAGCGACACAGTCAGCCCTAAGTTCTCTACAGACCAAGAAACACAATCCCAAGTGCCAAATCTCTGAAACAAGAACGACCAAGCGTCCCCATCCCATCCATGATGCCCATATACGCGCGGGGAATGATAACGAAATAAAGCGGTATAGTAAGTGCCCATATTTGTATCAAAGTAACGTAACTATATACGTCAGCGGCGGCAGTACCCGACGGTGATTACTGCCCTCGCAGTCCGTCACTGGCCAAGGGACACGTGCCCAAGGCCGTCCCAAGCACCGGGTTTGGCCGCCCATCTTCTCCCTTTTAAAGACATGCATACACGCAGAGCGTCATTGCATGAATCCTCGTAGTGTCACCAGCCCGCAGGGTCCCTTGTTGTAAGGGCAACCTCGAGGCCCGACCTCAGAGTCCTGACAAGGGAGAGTCCAAAGTGTCAGATAAGGGGATCGACTAGTACAGGAGACTGGCAAACCTGACAAGGGAGAGTCCAAAGAGAAACCGAGTTGGGGACTCTCCTTGTCAGGGCCCACTATATATAGCCTACAGAACAATGGATGACCAAGCACAATGGAAGCGCCAGATAATGGGGCCAGGGAACAATGAGGGGCCGGATCGGGGAGAACAATGGGAGCCGGACCGTCGGAACAATGGGGGTCCGGGCCGGAGTGTCATGTGGACGCGCTTGGCAGGGAAGTCCGGACCGAAGCATGTGACGCCTGACAGATGGCGCGTGCGTGGTCACATGCAAGATCCCATGATGATCGGACGAAAGCAGGGGTTCCCCTGACATCACCCCCCCTCTTGATTGCGGCGCCTCGACGCAAGGCATGGTTGGGGGTCGACGAGTCCCTGAAGGGCAGCGAGTCGAATACAGCCGCTGCGATGACGCGTGGCTTCCCAGGGTATCTGCGGTAAAACGCTGCCACTGCGTCGTCAGCAAACACATCTGAGTGCTTGACCCACTGGTCGTGAGACGGGTCATAGCCCTTCCACCGTACTCGGAACCAGACACTTTGGTAGCGCATCTTTGCGTCTAGGATCTCCTCCACTTCCCACTCCTCTCCTTCGCCTTGTCCCAGGACAGGCGGTGGTTCTTCATGATGCGGGCGAGTGGGGAACGGGTCGTCTTCGGCCAACTGCAGCTTGACCACAGGGAAGACAGGGTGGAGGCGAGAGAGGCTGGTGGGGAGGGCGAGCTTGTACGCGCCTCGGCCCACGACTTGGGTGACTTTGAAGGGGCCCAGGCGTCGGTGGGAGAGGCCGCGAGAAGGTCGCGTCGTCGTGATGTCCGAGGCGTCGAGCCAGACTCGGCTGCCAACCTTGATGTCAGGAGCGGTGGTCCTTCGTCGGTCGTAGTACCTCTTGTATTCGTCCTTCGCCTTCACCAGTGCTGATTTGGCCTCGGTTACGCCTGATGCGACCCGATCCAGAAACTCGTTGGCAGACTCTGCTCTGGTGGAGCGCTGCCCTGTTGGCTCGAATCCCATGCGTGGTAAACGTCCCGTGTCCGTCATGAAGGGAACCTGCTGGGTCGAGGAGTGGACGTGGTTGTTGTAAGCGAACTCAGCTGCGGGCAAGAGCTCGTCCCAGTCATCCTGCTTGTAGCTGGTGAAGATCCGAAGGTACTGTTCCAGCTCCTGGTTGACCCGCTCGGTCTGGCCATCAGTCTGCGGGTGGTAAGCGGTAGATGTGGCAGGGGAAACGCCGACCAGCTTCCACAGCTCTTGCGTGAAGTCCGCCACAAACTGAGGGCCACGGTCGGAGACATACTTGGTCGGTAGTCCGTGGTGTTGCCAGACGTGCTTGTAGAACAACCGAGCCATCCCTTCGGCCGAGAGGCGAGTGTGGCACTCGATGAAGTGAGCACGCTTCCCTAGCATGTCAACGACCACCATGATGGCGTCGTAGCCGTGCGCCTCGGGCAACTCCATGATAAAGTCTACTGACACCGATTCCCAATGTTCCGAGGGGACCTCCGTGGGGTGAAGCTCTCTGGTGGGGAGTCGTCGGAGGGCCTTGGTCCAACAGCACAGGTCGCAGGTGGCCACATACCTGCCGACGTGCCGTGAGAGCTGGGGCCACCAGTAGTTCCGAGAGACCAGCTCCAGCGTCTTGAAGCGGCCAGCGTGCCCTGCAACGCGGGTGTCGTGGTGTTGCTCGAGGATGCGTCGTCGGAGGTCCCGGTCGCGTGGAACCACTAATTTCCCACGGAAGTAGAGGAGGCCATCCTGGATGCGCCACTCCGCTGCGACAGCGGAGCGGGCCCCCTTCATCCCTTTTAGAAGCTGTCGTGCTACGAGCGCGACCGCTTCCTCAAGGTCAGGGTCACCGGAGAGCGATTCCCGAATGTCACGGACAAGCGGGGCTTCCGGGCCAGAGACAGACAGCCCCTCGAGTGCTCGCACATGGAACAGTTCCGGTTTCAGCAGGGTGACGTCTGTATTGTCCGAAGGGGCCCCGTGGTCCGGACGTCGGGAGAGTGCGTCCGGTCGTCCCATGAGCCGGCCAGGTTGGTGGTGGAGCGTGAAGTCGAAACGGGATAGGTAGAGCGACCATCGAGCTTGCCGGCGATTGAGATTCTGGGCCTTGCGGAAGTACTCCAGGTTCTTGTGGTCGGTCCAGATCTCCACGGGGTGTTCGGCGCCCTCCAAGAAATGCCGCCACTCCTCCAGGGCCCGCACGATCGCGAGCATCTCCTTGTCATGGATCTCGTAGTTACGCTGGACGTCGTTGAGGCTCTTGGAGAAGAAGGCAACTGGGTGCCACTTGTTGTCCGAGGGGGACTGCTGCGAGATGACGGCTCCTGTAGCAGAATCGGAGCTGTCAGCCTCGAGGCGATAAGGGCGAGAGGAATCTGGAAGGAGAAGAACTGGCGTGGAAGTAACCGCATCCTTCAAGGCCTGGAACGAAGTGGACTCGTTGTCGCCCCAAGACCATGGTACGTCCTTCTTGGTGAGATCAAAGAGCGGGCGTGCAATGTGCGAGAAGTCCCGAATAAACCTCCGATAGAAGTTAGTGAACCCAAGGAAATGCTGCACTTCCTTCTTGTTAGACGGAGCTGGCCATTCAGCTACGCCTGCCACCTTGACGGGGTCCATTTCAACATGGTTGTGGGAGATGATCACGCCTAGGTACTCAATGGATTCCATCTCAAATTCGCACTTTTCGGCTCGAAGGTACAGCTTGTTTTCGTGGAGGCGCCGGAGGACTTCGTTCACGATACGACGATGGAGGTGAAGGTCGGAGTGCGCAATGAGGATGTCGTCCAGGTACACCATGACGTCGCCCGAGAGGATGAGGTCCTGGAGGATGTCAGTCATCATGGTCTGGAACGTTGCAGGGGAGTTGGTGAGGCCGAAATACATCACCAATGGCTCGAAGAGTCCACGGTTGGTCCGAAACGCAGCCTTCCACTCGTCTCCTTCTTGTATCCGTACGTTGTTGAAACCCCATCGAACGTCGAGTTTGGTGAAGAAGCAGGCTCCCTTGAGCTTGTTGATGAGGTCGTTGATCGGGGGGAGGGGGTACCGGTTCTTCACTGTCATTGCGTTCAGCGCTCGATAATCCTGGACGAACCGTAGGCTGCCGTCCTTCTTCTTGACGAAGAAGACAGGGGACGCCATGGGAGATTTTGAGGGCCGGATCCGACCGGTGGCCATGCCCTCTTCTATGAAAGCGTCGAGCTGCTTCTGTTCCAGGGGGGAGATGGGGTAGACCTTGCAGTTTGTTGGCTTTGCGTCAGGCACCAGTTCGATGGCGTGATCCCAGGGGCGACGTTCCGGGAGATTGTCGAAGGACTCCTTGCTGAAAACATCCTCGAACTCGCGTGCCCACTCGGGTATGGAATCCCGAGGGGGTGCGGAGTTCTTGGCAAACGCCTCGGCGAGACGCTGGGAGACGGTGCTAGTGGCTCGGATGTCTTCAGAGGGGTTGAAACGGGTGTAGAAGATACGGTCACCGGTTTCCAGACCATCTTCTTCGTCGTCAGAATCCTCTCCATCGTCTTCTTGGAGTGGTGGCATAGCCTCGTCTTCGCGGTCTTCCATATCGACGACGCAGATGGAGGGGGCGGGACCTTGTCGGGCCGACCGGAGCGCTCGGGCCGAAATCCTGGCAATCCGCCTCTCTTGGCGAGACTCCTCGGTGCAGGTGGAGCAGCCAGACGGGCAGCGGCTCATCTTTACTTCCTGGGTGTCCCAATTGATTTCTGGGTTGTGCTTTCGAAGCCAAGAGTAGCCGAGGATCAACTTCTGCTTGCCAAGCCAAGTGACAGCGAGCTGGACCCGCTCACTGTGTCCTTGGTAACGCAGGACCACATCAGCAACTTGTCGAATGGAGCCGGCTTTGTTCGGTGTGCCGTCCATGTTGTAGACTGGGATGGGCTGAGAGAGCTGTCGGACTGGAAGTCGGTTTTCGGACGCGTAGGTGGAGTCGATGAAGTCCGATGTAGCGCCACAGTCGACCAACCCGCTGAGGGAGAGCTGGACTGCGTTGTCGGTGGACTGGATCTCCAGAGGGAGGTGCAAGGAATTGGCGCCAGGGGAGGCTGCAACCACGTAGCGCTGAGGGAGTTTTTGTTCCCATTTTTCCTTGCGGACCAGCGGGACTGAGCGAGGGGTAGGGGGTACGTCTATCGTTTCGTTTGTGGAGGAAATGGGATCGCATTCATCATACAGACATTCGAAACGATTACGCGAGGCGAACGAGAGCGTACTATTCACTCGTCGCGGGGGAGAAAACCCTGCTCCAGCTCATCGGCAATCTCCGCTTCATGCTCTTCCACAGCCGCCGTAGTCGCCAGTCGGGCTACTAACTCCGCCAACACGTCGCTTCCCAACTGATTGATTACTTCGTCCAGGACGTCGACGTGACGGACATCGGCAGGGGTTGGGCAGTCCCGGGCCAGATGTCCGGGGCTGCCGCATCGGAAGCAGGTGCGACGAACACCGCCACGGGCTCGGGTGCGGTCAATCTCCATGGGAATGCCCGGTGGGAGGATTGCCGGGACTGGTCGCGGAGCAGGAGGCGGAGCAACGACTGGGGGGCCATGGGACGAGGTCGGGGGGCCGCAGGAAGCGGGGCGCGGGGTGGAGGAAACGTCTGCCCTCTCGCAGCTCGGGCAGCCACCTCCGCATTGTACTGGCGGAATGCACGGGTGCGCCACTCCGAGTAGTTGGTGAGACTGGGTGGGTTACCAGAGGTTGTGATCGCCTGGTTGATCCTGGGGTCGAGACCCGCCCGGTACTTGGTGACCTTGACCAGGTTGTCGGAGTACCCTGCCAGGTCGAGGAGGTCGTCGAACTCGTCCGTGTATTTGAAAACATCGCGGGATCCCATGTAGTAAGCATGGGTTTCCAGTCGTGCCAGGGCGTGGTCTTGCTCGTTTTCCTCGACGAACCGGAGTTTGAATTCGGCAACAAAGGAGGACCAGGTCGGAAATGGGAAGACGAGGCGTTCTGACATACGTTCCGACCAGGAGGCGGCCGAATCCTTGGACATGTAGGAGAGGGCGAAACGTACCACCCGTTCTTCTGACACTACCCCGTTCACATGGAAGGCCTCGGGGAGGAGGCGCCAGTACTGCTTGACGGAATGCAGGAACGTCTTGCCCTGGGTGCGATCCCCGTCGAATGCGAATGGGGGGTTTGGGCGAATGAGGGGTCTCGAGCTGGCTTGTTGGCCAGTTGGTACGCCTGGACCCACTGCCGGAGACGGAGCAGGGGCAGGGGCAGGGGGAGTTTGTTGCTGGCTGATGATTAGGTTATGGAGGAGGCCCTCCATTCGCTGCATAGCTTCCTCCAGATTCGCAAGCCTTTGTTGGGGGTGGGAGGGGTCGTCCTCTTCTTCCATGTGGGACATGCTGGTCGCAGAGGGGGAGGAGGGGACAAGGTTGGAAGTGAGAAGCAGATGATGCTGTCAACGGTCTTCACAAGCTTGTCAAGTTATCCCTAGGAACTTGGTTTCTGCTGTAAGGGCAACCTCGAGGCCCGACCTCAGAGTCCTGACAAGGGAGAGTCCAAAGCGTCAGATAAAGGGATCGACTAGTACAGGAGACTGGCAAACCTGACAAGGGAGAGTCCAAAGAGAAACCGAGTTGGGGACTCTCCTTGTCAGGGCCCACTATATATAGCCTACAGAACAATGGATGACCAAGCACAATGGAAGCGCCAGATAATGGGGCCAGGGAACAATGAGGGGCCGGATCGGGGAGAACAATGGGAGCCGGACCGTCGGAACAATGGGGGTCCGGGCCGGAGTGTCATGTGGACGCGCTTGGCAGGGAAGTCCGGACCGAAGCATGTGACGCCTGACAGATGGCGCGTGCGTGGTCACATGCAAGATCCCATGATGATCGGACGAAAGCAGGGGTTCCCCTGACACTTGTGAGGAATGCGAGTCAACCCCGAAGGATTGTTTTGCCTGGCAGAGGGATTGACCTCCAGCAGCTGTTGAGAGCTACCACACCACCTAGGCGCTTCGCGCAAGGTTCAGGAGTGGGATTGACCAAAGGACCAGTGCCTGGTGGATATGTCCGCTGTACAATAAAAAGATGTAACGTAAAACGCGCGCGAGCAATCATGGACGGAATAGCTAACGGCGCGTCTGCCAACTGAATGACTCCCTGACGCCGCTCACGTAACCCCTTGAGGGTGAGAGCACAAATGCAAGGACCGACATCCAGCAAGTGGGACGAGCGCACAAAGACGACGCTCTAGAAGGGCTGAACAAGTGAAAGATACTCGCCTTAGCAAAGGGAGTAGTTCGATGTTTCTTGATCTGGGCTAGTGGTTCAGGCGGGGCCCATAACCTGTCGCAGACAATACCGCGCAGTGGAGATACGACCAGTAGCGATCACCTAGAAGACAGAGTCTCAGCGAGTGTAGAGACACAGGAGCTGTATCATTAGCTGTACCTAGAAGACAGAGTCTATGGTACAAGTCATAAGTAAAGGTCATTAGATCGTAAGAGAGAATGCATACCTCAGCGAGTGTAGAGACACAGGAGCTGAGGATATGGAGCGTATAGTACTAGGTTTATATACCAGTCTGGAGCAGATATCATGATGTCATAGTGGAGTAATGATATCATAGATGAATAATGGATGATGCAATAATGATGTCAGGTATGAGGTCATTGTGGAGCGAGCCAAAGTAATCTAAGAATACTACTTATGATGTCATGTCTACATACTGTGATAGTCGCTAATACAAACAAGCTTCAAAATATTCTGCACCCTCCCTGTCATGCATATCGTGCATTTTTCAACTGTGCATAGCCTGCACTTGCGCATATTCTGCGTATGTTCTGGCATGCATATCGTGCATTTTGAGTGTGCATAGGCTGCACATGCACATATCGTGCGCTGTGCATATTCTGCGTATTTTCTGGTGTGCATATCCTGCATTTTGAGTGTGCATAGGTTGCACCTGCGCATATTCTGCGCCTTTCCTGTGGTGCATATCATGCATCTTTCGACTGTGCATAGCCTGCACTTGCGCATATCGTGCGCTGCGCATATTCTGCGCCCTCCCTGTCGTGCATATCGTGCATTTCGCGACCGTGCATAGGCGGCACCTGCGCATATCCTGCACTTGCGCATATTGTGCGCCTTCCTTGGTGCCTATCGTGCGTTTTCTTGACTGTGCATAGTCTGCACTTGCGCATACTCTGCGTATCTTTCTACTGGGCAGACCGTGCATTTCTGATGGTGTATAGCCTGCACCTGCGCCTATCATGCGCTGGGCATATTCTGCACCTTTCCTTGGTGTATATCGTGCTTTTCTTGACTGTGCATAGCCTGCACTGCGCATATTGTGCGCTGCGCATATTCTGCGTATTTCTGGGTGTGCATATCGTGCATGTTTCGAGTGTGCACTGCTTGCACTTGCGCCTATCGTGTGCTGCGCATATTCTGCCTATTTTTGGGCGTGCATATCGTGCATGTCATGCATGTCGTGCCATTTTCGACTGTGCATAGCCTGCACATGCGCATATTTTGCGCTGCAATTATTCTGCGTCCTTTCTGGCGTGCATATTGTGCACTCTTTGATTGTGCATATTCTGCGTATCTTTGGGTGTGCATATCGTGCATTTTGAGTGTGCATAGCCTGCACATGCGCATATTCTGCGTCCTTTCTGGCGTGCATGTGGTGTATTGTGCACTGCACATATTCTGCTTATTTTTGGGCGTGCATAGCGTGCATGTCGTGAATGTTGTGCCATTTTCGACTGTGCATAGCCTGTACTTGCGCATATTCTGCGTCTTTTCTACTGGGCAATATCCTGCGTATTTTCAGTGGGCATATTGTGCATTTTTGATGGTGCATGGCCTGCACCTGCGCATATCCTGGTTATTTCCGGCGTGCATATCATGCACTTTTGATGGTGCATAGCTGCGCATGTCCTGCACATTTTCTGGCACGCATATTGTGCATTTTTCGACTATGCATAGCCTGCACTTGCGCATATTCTGCGTATTTTCTACTGGGCATACCATGCATGTTTGATGGTGCATATCCTGCACCTGCGCCTGTCATGCACTGTGCATATTCTGCGTATTGTGGCGTGCATATTACGCATTTTTACACTGCGCATATTCTGCGCCTTTCCTGTGGTGCATATCATGCATTTTTCGACTGTGCATAGCCTGCGCTTGCGCATATTGTGCACTGTGCATATCCTGTGCATTTCCTGCCATGCATATCGTGCATTTTCGACTGCATATTGTGCATTTTTCGACCGTGCATGGCCTGCACTTGCGCATATCGTGCGGTGCGTATATTCTGCGTATTTTTGGGCGTGCATACTGTGCATGTTTCGACCATGCATAGCCTGCACTTGCGCATATTGTGCATTGTGCATATTCTGTGCCCTTCCTGTGGTTCATATCGTGCATTTTGAGTGTTCATAGCCTGCACTTGTGCATATTGTGCGCTGCGCATATTCTGCGCATTTTATGGCATGCATATCGTGCATTATTCACTGTGCATAGCCTGCACTTGTGCATATCCTGCATATTTCTTGTGGTGCATATCGTGCTTTTTCAATAGCCTGCACTTGCACATTTTGTGCACTGTGTTTCTCCTGTGCATATCGTGCTTTTTGACAGTGCATAGCCTGCACTAGCGCATATCCTGTGTATTTTCTACTATGCATATTGTGCTTTTTGTCAGTGCCTAGCCTGCGCCTGCACCCACGCATATCATGCACTGTGCACATCCTGCGCATTTTCTGGCATGCATAGCCTGCACCCATGCACATCGTGCACCGTGCATAGCCTACACATTTTCCAGCATGCATGTAGTGCATATTTCGACTGCATATTGTCCATATTTCGACGGTGCATTGCCTGCACATTTTCCAGCATGCATATTGTGCATCTTTCGACTGTGCATAGCCTGCACTTGTGCATAGCCTGCGCTGCACATATCCTGAGTTTTTACGGCGTGCATATCGTGCATATTTCGACTGCATATTGTGCATTTTCGACGGTGCATAGCCTGCACATTTTTCGGCGTGCATATCATGCATAATTCGCCTGCATATCGTGCATTTTGACGATACATATCCTGCACATCTGCATATTGTGTACTGGGCATAGCCAGCACATCTTCCGGCATGCGTATTGTGCATATTTTACTGACACACAAGTTGTGCTGCTTTCTTTGGGTGAGCCGGCGTTGTTCTGGCTGGGCAGCACGTTTTGGGGTCATCCGCACCCCGCCGGCTTTGCGCCCTGGGCTCAGCTCCCACAGCCAATCACACTACTGTTGTGCAACACAGTATGTTTTTTGATGGAATGTCTGGCCAGCAAAGGCTCAACTGAAGAAGATGGATGCATTGAGTGAGAGAAGGAGCTCAATGCATCATCTTGTGAGGGAGAGAGCCGAAGAGCAGGGGGTGGCTGTGAGCTCACTCTCTCCTTCCACCCACCTGCCGGCGATCTCATCCTCGACAAATTCCCATTTCTGCGCTCACCCACCCACCCACAGCCTGTTTGATTCTCGATTTTGGTACAGCAGTAGAGCAGAGTCTGCGCGGTCATCCGCACCCCGCCGGCTTTGCGCCCTGGGCTCAGCTCCCACACCCAATCACACTACTGTTGTGCAACACAGTATTTTATTTGATGGAATGTCTGGCCAGCAAAGGCTCAACTGAAGAAGACGCACAATATGCGCAGCACACAATATGCGCAGTGCAGGCTATGCACAGTCAAGAAAAGCACGATATGCACCAAGGAAAGGTGCAGAATATGCCCAGCACATGATAGGCGCAGGTGCAGGCTATGCACAGTCGAAAGATGCATGATATGCACCACAGGAAAGGCGCAGAACATGCGCAAGTGCAGGATATGTGCAGGTGCAGCCTATGCACGGTTGCAAAATGCACGATATGCACGACAGGGAGGGCGCAGAATATGTGCAGCGCAGGCTATGCACAAGTGCAGGCTATGCACAGTCGAAAGATGCACAATATGCATGCTGGAAAATGTGCAGGCTATGCACCGTCGAAAATGCACGATATGCAGTCGAAATATGCACGATATGCACGCCGTAAAAACGCAGGATATGCGCAGTGCAGGCTATGCGCCGTCTAAAAATGCACAGAGTGCAGGGCAGGAACATGCATGATATGCACAGAAGCAAACACACTGGAGATGCGCAGCAGAGATCATGCAAAATATGCAGAACAGTTACAACTCACTAAATTCGAAGTAATTATTGACGCTATGCGGCCCAGGCCAGCGGCTGGGTCAAGACCAACGGTCCAGAATGAGCTGAGACCATAGAATGTCCCTGCAGCGTTGTTAGACAACGCCAGGAACCCAAAAGAACGAAAATATGCGATAATATCGCACCAAGTGCGATTAAATCGCAGGATTTGAGCGCCCAATGAGAGAGGGAGGGAAACCCAAATAAGCGTGCATCTGAAGCGAAGAGGCATTCACAGCTTGCAGGGTATGGGGCAGGGAATTTCGTAGCGACTGGGCGGCCAGAAATCGAAGGAATGGACTGGTATTACTGTCTGGAAGATCAGGGGGGTCGGCAGCTCGAAGTGGGCGGAAAGGGGAGGGTTCTGAAGGCTGGGGGATGTAGATGGGGTCGTTCTAATGCCAGGATCGAGTCAACGAGCAGTGTATATGTCGAGCTCCAACTGTGAGAAGGGAGGGAACTACTCAGCTTCGTGAATGGAATTGGGGTGTACCCCAGAGACACTCTTATTTAGCATCCAAATTCGAGCTTGAGATGGATTCCGTAGTGTACAGAGATTTCTGCAGATAGTGTCGAGTTCTGGGTGATAGTCAGTCATATAGAAGCATAAAAGACTGTGTAGAATGAGCGCAGAAATGGGAATTTGTCGAGGATGAGATCGCCGGCAGGTGGGTGGAAGGAGAGAGTGAGCTCACAGCCACCCCCTGCTCTTCGGCTCTCTCCCTCACAAGATGATGCATTGATCTCCTTCTCTCACTCAATGCATCCATTTTGGTGAAGGTGTCACACCACACATGAATTGCATCATACCCGTTACTGACTGGCAGGGGTCCGATTTGATCCATGGAGATGATTTCCCACGGTACGTTTGGAACTGCATGCGGATGCACAGTCCCCGTCCTTGCTCTTCTGGTCTTGGTCCGTTGGCACGCCTTGCCCGTCTGGATGTATTTCCGAATTTGGTTTCCCATCCTTGGCCACCAGTAGTTTCTTTCCACCATCTCCTGCGTTTGGTTGATCCCAGCGTGTCCGACCAAAGGTGTGTTGTGGTGCAGTCCGATGATCTTGTCCCGCAACTCCTTGTCTCTTGGTACATAGAGCTTCCCATGATACGTGATAAGCCCCTTCTCCTTCTTCCATCCAACAAGTGACTTATCCAGGGCTGCCTTGACGCTTCCATCAATCGATCGAACGGCCTTGATCTCATCAACTAGCTGCTGATCTTGTCCCTCGAATGTAACTTCTTGTGACCGGAAGAATTTGGGCTTCAGCAACGTGACGTCCTTGTTGTCGTTCTTGCCCTGATCATGATCTGCCCGTCGAGATAAGAGGTCCGCCTTGCGGTTGAGTGCACCGGGCTGGTGTCGTAAGGTAAAGTCAAACTCTGCCAACTCCGTGATCCATCGTGCTTGCCGTCGATTGAGTTTCTGCGGTTTCCGGAAGTACTCAAGATTCTGATGATCAGTGAAGATCTCAAACGTTTCCGTGGCTCCCAGTCGTTACTGCCTCCATTTGTCCAATGATAGCATGATTGCAAGCATTTTTTTGGCATAGATCTCGTAATTTTGCTCAGTTTTGGTCAGTGCGTGCGAAATAAATGCAATTGGGCGCCAAATGCCATCTTGGTTTTGGCTCAAAACAGATCCTGTTGCCCCTTCCAAAGCATCGGCTTCCAGACGATATTGGCCGGTGTCATTTGGCAGTGTTAAGACCGCATCCTCCGCGATTCTCTTCTTCAACCCATCAAATGCTGCACGCTCTTCTGCACCCCATGACCATCCTGCCTTCCCTGTCAGCCGTGTCAATGGCTTGGCGACCGCTGCGTATCCCCGGACAAAGCGTCGATAGAAGTTGGTGAACCCGAGGAAAGCTTGGACCTGTTTGACGCTCTTTGGTTCCGGCCATTCCATCGCGCCCTTGATCTTGACTGGATCCATCCGCATCAAATTGTGCCCAATAATTACACCCAAATATTCGACCGCTTTGGAACCTGGTTTGAGCTCAATCACGTGGTCCCATGTTCGTTGATCCGGCAGTGAGTTGAACGATTCCTTAGCAAATACTTTGACAAATTCCAGATACTGATCCGGAAGCTTCCCCTCAGTCATTCTCTCCTTCTCCTTTTCCGCTTCTTCTGCAAATTTCTGTGCCGGCGTTTCCTTCAGCCGTAGATCCACTTCCTTCCCAAAGTCGACCAACAGGATCAATTCTCCCTCTTCCAGATCCGATGTGCCTATTGATAGGCTGGCTACCAGACACGCTCTGCACCAGCTCTGTAAGGGCATATTTTTGCGCTTTTACAGAGTTTACTCTCAAACCATTTGGTGTATTGTGTCGCGGTTGACAGTGTTGCGCTCAGGAGGACTTAAGGGTCTACTGCCCAGTCGACGACTGTGGATAGTGTCGACAATAGCAAGGCAGTCAGACCACTACTGTGGTATTGGTCTTATGAGTCTACACCAGGCTCAGGGCTATTAGCGACAAACGCTTGGACCGCGACAATTCCCCAAAAGGGATCTTTTGTTGCGACAACTTCTCAAAAGGGTCATTCTCTGCAGATGGGAACTTAGGCTGAAGGGCTTAGCAATGCGCAACGTCCTCAATATTACAACTACTACTAGACAGGACTTGGTGTTACAAGATTGAACCAATCTTGTCGCGGCAACCCCCGGCTTTGGGTTGAACGTTTCCTTAAGATCACGCCACGGCAATGACTTGTCACATGTCAGGATCCACTCAATCACGGGACATTGTGGACGCATCGCGGTGACACTTCCAAGTGTCACGGCAAGTCGCGCCCTTACCCAAACAAACTAAAACCGACACTGGCTAGATCCGTGAGCTGAACCATGTGAGGAACGACTGGCGTGCCTAGGACCATACGACTTCTTGAGGCACTCACGTTGGACTCACTCGCCAAGACATACCAGTTGGCCAATCCAGCACGTCGTATTCCAAAAGTATGATGCGGTGGGTTGACCCACATCAAAAGTACCATATGGACTCTGGGGCGGGGTCCTGATCACTCAGGACCTGTCCAATCGTTCAACTTTTCATTACCATAAAAAGCAACCGATCTCAGATAGCGTAGCTACTATGCAGTCGTACAGGACTTTACTAAGCAGTGTCGTAGGCAGTATAAGTAGCACGTCGTTTCTTTGTATTATAAAGCTTTCCCCCGGACTGTGAATCACCCTCATTTCAGATTGTTTTGTACAATTTGCGTGTCGCGTGATTCCACCCTAAGAAGTTCTGCTACCCCTGCCCGGTCGCGACGAGTTGCTCCCCGAGCACTTGTAGCTACTGTGATTTGAGTTTGAGTTGAGATATCAGAAAGTCGGATTCGCCGCATCTGGTATTGTCACGGCATTTAGTGTTGTTGCCTTCGGGCTTTGTTGAGATTGTTCCACACCTCTAGTTTGGCAGTGAGTCGACTAGTTGTGCTTGGGTTGTTTTGGTCAGTTGGCAGTGCGTCGACTTGAGAACTTTGGTTCCACACTTCTTGCTTGGCAGTGCGTCGACAAGTTGTGCTCGGGTTTTGGACATTGGATATTGGCTGTTAGTTGGCAGTGCGTCGACGTGGCATTTTGGTTTACTAGTTGGCAGTGCGTCGACTCAGTACCTTGGTTGTATCAGTTGGCAGTGTGTCAACTTGACATTTGGTTTTACTAGTTGGCAGTGCGTCGACTTGACATTTGGGCTTTGCGTTGCCATCTGGACGCTGTCGCTACAAGGGATCTTAATACTTTGTATTAAGCTCTGACTTGTTATATTGTTGGTTGTGGTTGGATTAGTGTTGGTTTTGGTCGTATAGAAGATATTGGTTGAGACACCACTGTTTGCTATATATATATATTTGTCGTCGACTTTGACTTCCACAACTATTGGATCTGCATCTATTGAGAGTTGTGAAACTGGTGTTCTGTTCACCCCAAAGCCCTCATATCTTTCACACACTGAGAAGCTGATTACGAGGAGTGTGAACGTGTTTATATTTGGGTTTACTTTCATAGTAGATTCACCTGTGAGCGCGCCCTCAGCATTTCACTGTGTCCAAGTCGATTGCATCCATGTTGGTCATTGCTTGGTGCTCCTCGTGACCCTTCATGTGACACCGCTCTGGGCATCGGCTGAATCTCATTGTCTGCTCCTGCCAATCCGCCTCGGGGTTGTGTTCCGTCAACCAATCAAGACCAATGAAGATCTGGGCTTTTCCCAAGGATTCTCATCCTTAGGTCAATGTAATGCGTGATCCGACCGCTGATGTTCTCGGTGTTGTTGGTGTTACAAGCCACGATGGGTTGTGGAAGCTCTTGGATATCCAACTTCTCTGCCCGTGCGTAGTCGGTATCAATGCAGCAGGTACTGCAGCCACTATCAAGCAGTGCCTTTACTCCGCGCGTCTTTCCCGAGTATAGGCCCGTGATCCGGATATATACGTCCATTGAATGTCTCTTTCTTTTGGCCTGGTAGTTGCGCAATTCCTGCGCTAGTCTGCTGGGCTGGGGGCCCTTCTGTTTTCCGGCCGCCAATTTCCTCTGGACGGCATCTGGCACCCTTGTGCGTTTGGGTGCTTCTGGAACCTTAATTTCGGCAGATTCCTTAGGCGCTTCCTCCCTTTTCAAGGATTGAGCCTCTGGAGCAATGCTCCCCTTTTCGGTCTTTGTTGACGTGGTTTCTTCTCCATGAGCCATAAATACGTAGGAGTCCAAAAATAATTTATCTGCAGTCACTGCCTTCTGATCTCTTTTATCTTGTAAATATTTTCTATTTAGGGCTATCTTTTCTTTGCGTTCTTTTTCCATCTCGGCAACGAGAAAATCGTGAATATTAGTATGTAGTGAGTTGGGGAGCGTGTATGTATGGTGAGGAGTATCATTCGTATCTTTAATCGAAACAAGTACAGAAAAACGTCCGTAGTCCGGGCGCTCCACCTCCTTGGCTAGAGGAGTGGAGTGCTTCAAAATCCCTTCTCGCGCAGCTTCTCGGCAATTTCCTTGAGGAACTCGTTGTCCTTGTCCCCGTTCTCGATCTCTTCAAGCATCGTGGCCCGGTTGAAGAACATGTGCTTCTTCCTTGGTTCTGGACAGTTCCACGCAATGTGCCTGGACTGCTGACAGTTATAGCAGATGATGTTGCGGCCACGGGCATTGGTGCAATCAATCTCCATTGGAACCGGTTCACTGGCCGCCGGTCGGGCCGGAGCAGGTGCAGGTGCCGCTGATGCAGCCTGAGGGCGGAATTGGGGGGGGGGGGTGGTCGTGGCGTGGGGTGTCCGTAAGATGCCTTGCGTAGCTGGTCGCATAGAGCATTGGCTTTGATGTTGATGCACCAGGCTTTGAATGCCCCATAGGCCTTGGGCAGAGGGACACCTGTGCTGTAGAGGTGACTGGTGATTTTGCTGCTGAGTCCGCACTCAAGGAACTCGATGAAGATGTTGTCTTGGTCCCCCTTCTTGTATTCGCCCTTGTCATCGGTGGTGTCGACCACATTGTATCCCACGTCTGCAGCCAACATCTCGAAGTCGAAGATGTAGTCCGGGAAGGACCATTTGTTTTGGCTCAGGGCCATGAGTTGGGCAGCAGCAACTTGCTCTGCATTGGAGTCCCCGAAAGCCCTCTGCAGTTCTTCCAAGAAGGTCTTGACCGTGACCCCTGCCTTCAGTCCCTCGAATCCCCCAAAGTTGTGTTGCTTCCAGTTCATTGCCCATCTTGAGGCGGCGCAGCTCGTGCCGGCCTCGTTGCGGAGGTAGGAGAGGATGAAGAGGATTTTTGTTTCATCCAGCAAGAATTCTGACCGGTATGCACTGACGTAGGTGGTGCATGAGTTCACGAAGCCCATGTATTTGGTCTTGTCCCCATCGAAATAGGGAGGGTTGGCGGCGAGGGTGACGCGGTGATGACCTGACATGGTAGGAGCAGGTGCGGTAGCTGGGGGTGAGGGTGGTTGTTCGGAGGGCAGTTCGTCGAGGTCAGGGATCTCGTCTTCAGGCGGTGGGAGGGCAAGGTATGGATCGGAGGGCCCGGGTTGATTTTGATACGCCAGATTGGGCAACAATGGTATGATGGGGGGAGGAGACGGACTCCTGGACAACAATGGGAATCAGTACAAAATGGTGGATTCGTGTGCTGTACAAGCACTCAAGGAAAGGTTCTTTTGCTAGCAAAAAGATCCCGGGCCTAGCTCTTCATGTGCCTGATGATCCCGAGGTGCGTTTTCCCGAAGGTCTCTGCAGCACTCCTTGTAGCTACCGTAAGGCTTGGGTCGGGCTCAACGTTACCCGTGGCCTGGTGCTGTTTGGTCGAGATGAACCCTTCACTGCGATCGCAGAGAACGCCTAGATGATTCAGTAAAAGAGTGAGTGGGATTGATAAGGTTCAAGAGGATATAGCGGGCGTAGCAGTGAGGGATGCAGGGGTAAGAGGTACGAGGTAGGAGGGTATGAGGGGAGTCTTCGAATTATGTGACAATCAACAAGAAATAATGTCAAAAAGGGAAGTGAATTCGAAGACTGGAGAATACAACCAAGTACAGTCATTTACCATCTAATGATACACCATGACCTAATGATACAAATGGCAATAGCACCTGTTCCCGTGGCCTGCTTACCTTCGGACTTTGCATGGGACATCATTAGGATGTGTTCTTTAGACTACTAAAAGGGATAGAGGCATAGCTCAGCGGATATCTTTGGCCCTTGCAATCAAATCATTCAGGCTTGGGTTTCAAAACGTAAATGCGGAGTAATCAAGCACAGGCATACCCAATTTCAATTGTATGATGGTGCTATTGAACCCTTTGGTGGTCGAACTCATAGTGAACATTTACCAGAACATCCGAGATGGGTTGCATGCAAACTGAATCATGAAGAACAAAAACTGCAAAGAGAGACCAAAAGTGGCTCTCGTGGGAACATCACGTTGTGTCACATCACACCGTCCTAATTGGATCAACGCACGGACTTCAAGGAGAAGTTGCTCCTGCGGCCTCCAGCAAAGAAGAAGGCAGCCCAGGATGCTCAGGAAGATGGGGGCAGCGCCTCGTTGTCCACAGGAGGCTCTTCGGATGCATCGGATGATGAGATGAATGGCCCGAATGACGATTCTGACAGCTCGGAGTAGCCTCGGAACCGTTATGTAAAGGAAGCCGAAAGGAAGATGTGACTGGCTCATTAGCTGACTTGACCCAAATAAGCAATCCTGGAATAGATAAGGCTCGATATTGTATGATACTACTCCTTATGTAGCAACTATCGGTGGAATTCTACTCTCTAGGATATAATCTATGAGGTCATCAAGTCCGATCTGAGAAATTGGTCTGGAACGGACCGCATTAGGGCGTGTAAGTTTTTGCTGTATCATTAGGTGGTAAATGACTGTAGCTACAGTATTTATACCCAAGTCCAGTCTGAGTCATATCTACAACTAATGAGTCATAAGGCTATGTACTGCATGGAGCACTGGTCATGGGTTGTAGTAGAACCTTCCGGAGCATATGTCGCGCAGCCTTGGATCGATAGTGAAAATCCCCCAGACCCCTAGTCCGGACTGTTGGATGCCATGATCCATGATAAGATAATCCGCCCCGAGATAAGATAAGATTGTCGATGATAAGATGAAAAAGGGTCGAATTATGACAGTTTGGCAGTGACATTAGGACTTATTTGTACGTTCCCAGGCTTGCTCTATCACTGGTGAAGCTGATGTATGAACAGCGTTTCTTATGGCAACAACAAGAACATGGTGCCGGTTTCCTGGGTGGAATGGGACAAGGATCGGTTCAAAAGTGACGTGCGAGACTGTTTTGTGGACTATCTGATGCAGCATACTGTACGTGCTAGGTTTCTGTTGCATATCATACCAGTTCTGACATATGATCAGCGGCCAACAATTGTACCGCCGTGGCACTCCCCCAAGACATCATGGACACTCTGATCCAGGAGGGTGACTGTCCATCATCTGATGAGGATGACAACAACGAGGACACCAACTCAAGCAATTCGGGTTCTGACATGGATATAGATGTGGTTGCACTGGCAGAGGCAGTCAAGTAGAAGAAGGCGCTATACAAGAAGGAGGCCGCTAGCAAGCCCTCAAAGTCCTCAGCTGCAAAGAAGCTGAAGAAAAAGAAGGTCACTTCCGCAAAGATGCTGTCAAAAGTACCTAGCAATGCCTCTGCTCCAACCGCTGCGAGGCCAAGGCCAACAGCCAAAAAAAGCACAGGAGCGACGAGTGCCAGTGCCACACCAGGTCAATGGACTCCCTCTTCTGCCACTGCGGTGTTGGCAGCTACGGGTACCACATCCGATCTCACATCTTGGGCCACATCTCCCCTTCCTCGTTCCACCTCTCCCAGTCTCATGTCAGATGCTGGTGCTGGCATCTCAGCATCCGAACCCGCATTTCATTGACCTGCAATCCTGGATCGCAAACCAACACCCAGTCCCCTTCCTGCTCCTGCTCCTTGTCCCACAAGTATCACGTGGGCCAGCCCAATTGGCGACATCACCATTGCCGATCAATGGGCAGACCTTTGTGACAATATAAACACGTTCACACTCCTCGTAATCAGCTTCTCAGTGTGTGAAAGATGCGAGGGCTTTGGGATGAACAGAACACCAGTATCAAAACTCTCAATAGGTGCGGAATTCAATAGTCGCGGAAGACAGAGTCGACGACAAGGATTTATATAGCAAGAAAAGGTGTCTCAACCAATATCTTCTATACAGCCAAAACCAACACTAATCCAATCACAACCAACAATATCACAAGTCAGAGCTCAATACGAAGCATTAAGATCCCTTGTAGCGATAGCGTCCAGATAGCGATGCAAAGCCCAAATGTCAATTCGATGCACTGCCAACTGATAGAATCAAAATGTCAAGTCAACGCACTGCCAACTGACACTACCAAAGTACTGAGTCGATGCACTGCCAACTAGTAAAACCAAAATGCCGTGTCAACGCACTGCCAACTAACAGCCAAATCCAAAGACCAAAACCCGAGCACAACTTGTTGACGCACTGCCAAGCAAGAAGTGTGGAACCAAAGTTCTCAAGTCGACGCACTGCCAACTGACCAAAACTACCCAAGCACAACTAGTCGACGCACTGCCAAACTAGAGGTGTGGAACAATCTCAACAAAACCCAAAGTAGTGACACAGAATGTCATGACAAAATATCTCAACTCAAAGTCAGACTCAAATCTCAGTAGCTACAAATGCTTCTTCTTCAGTTGAGCCTTTGCTGGCCAGACATTCCCTCAAATGAAATACTGTGTTGCACAACAGTAGTGTGATTGGGTGTGGGAGCTGAGCCCAGGGCGCAAAGCTGGCGGGGTGCGGATGACCCCAAAATGTGCTGCCCAGCCAGAACAACGCCGGCTCACCCAAAGAAAGCAGCACAACTTGTGTGTCAGTAAAATATGCACGATATGCACGCCGGAAAATGTGCAGGCTATGCCCAGTACACAATATGCACATGTGCAGGCTATGTACCATTAAAAATGCACGATATGAAGTCGAATTATGCATGATATGCACACCGGAAAAAGTGTAGGCTATGCACCGTCAAAATATGCACAATATGCAGTCGAGATATGCACAATATGCACCCAGGAAAAACGCAGGATATGCGCAGCGCATGATATGTGCAATTCTTGGCTAATCAAAGTCAAAATAAGCACGAAATGCCCGCCGGAAAATGTGCAGGCTATGCACAGCACACAACATGCACAGATGCAGGCTATGCATTGTCAAAAATGCATGATATACACCGCAGGAAAACGCAGGATATGCCCAATTGTAGGCTAATCAAAGTCAAAATAGGCATGAGATGCAAGCCGGAAAATGTGCAGGCTATGCCCAGTGCATGATATGAGCATGTGCAGGCAATGCACCATCAAAATATGGATGATATGCATTCGAAATATGCATGATATGCATGCCAGAAATTGTGCAGGATGTGTGCAGTGCACAATATGCATGGGTGAAGGCGACAAATAGGCGCAGGAGAAAGCACAATATGCAGAGAAGAAAATACACAGGATATGTGCTAGTGCAGGCTATGCACTGTCAAAAAGCACAATATGCACAGGAGGAAGAACAGTGCGCAATATGTGCAGGTGCAGGCTATTGAAAAAGCACAATATGCACCACAGGAAATATGCAGGATATGCGCAGGTGTAGGCTATGCACCATCGAAAATGCACAATATGCATGCTGGAAAATATGCAGGATCTGCGCAGCGCACGATAGGCGCAGGTGCAGGCTATGCACCATCAAAAATGCACAATATGCCCAGTAGAAATTACAGTAGAGTTGTTAATAAGGAATAAAGTTGGGAAGGGTCCTGGCATATTCCTTACCACGGGTATTCCGTATCACATATTCCATTAAAAAATGTATAAAATGGTCATTTTGGTGTATCTGCGGCTTCTACTTGAAGTACTGACTGAGTTCCGTCTGTTTCTTGCCCTGTTGAATCTCCTTGGTGAGCCCAACGTGCATTTTACAAAGTTGAGGGCCAAGGGTCAGTGTCAAGTCGAGATCAGGTCGGTGTTCAGCGATCTGCTCCAGGAGCTTTATTGCCATGATGGCTTCCTTCTTATCAAACGAGAATTCGGGCTCCTCCTCCTCCTCGATCTTGGCCTCGAGCTCCTCCTGATCAACCCTGCGCATGTGTTGAATGATCTCATTTGTGTTGTCTCCATCCACAAAGCCGAGAACACTGGATCCCGGCTCTTGTCGTTCAATGAGTGGATCCAGAATGTTGTCAAGCAAAGGGAAGATTCCGCGGATGCAGCGCTCTGTAGCAAGTGTTTGAATGGTGTCAGACAGCGCATCCTTGGCCGCGCAGAGATGGTGATCGCAAGCAAATCGGCACAGAGGACCCTTGGCAGCAGCTTCAGTCTGAGCAGCCATGAGATCCCGAACAGCAAGCTCAGCCTTGATTGAATTGCCTTTGCAGGCCATGACAGCGTCAAGAGGCGCATTCCAGTCCTTGGGATAGTAATCTGTCCCAAGAACGCGTTCAAGCCCCTGTTCTGCTTGCGGTAACGACATTTCAGTCATTGCAAATTCCAAGATCACATCCCAGGCATCACTGTTGGCCTTTGCTGATGCCGGCTTCTCTGGCAACACTGCTGGCTTGTCCATTTTAGGCTCCTCGGACTCAGAGTTGGAACTGTCAGGCGCATTGGGATCAACAAAGATTTCTTCACATTTGTCCGTTTCCTTGGGTGTGATTTTGGTGTGAGTCCAGCAATTGGCAATGGTTGAAGGCGTGACATAATTTCATGCATTCTCTAGCATTTGCATACCACTGAGAATATTAATCTTGAAAGGCTGAGGATCATTGGACTGATAGAGATCGAGTGCTCGGATGGCCAATGCACGGAAATAATGGGCTTTAAGACATTGAATAATTCCAGCATCACATGGTTGCACAAACAACGTCATGTTGGGCTCCAGGAACTCGACGCGGATGTGGCTCAGCTTGTAAGTCATTGCAACATGTCCTGGACAATTGTCGATCAAGAGCAGAATGTGTTGCTCCTGGTGCCGCATCCAATCATTGAGCTTTTGCATCCATTTGGTCCACAGCTCTGCCGTCATCCAGGCCTTAGCGTTGTTGCAGTAATAAAGTGGTGGGTCCATGTTTGCTGGATTGACTCCTTGGAATACGTGAGGCTTCTGCGATTTTCCAATGAACATGAGATCAAGCTTCTCTGTTCCAATTGAGTTGCACGCCACAAGAGCAGAAATGTGAAACTTGTCCCGTTTGGTTCCGCTCATGTGTGTGGTGCACAGCACGCGATCCGGGGGCAAAGATGGGAAGAAACTGGTCTCATCCGCATTCCAGATGTTCTCGGGGGCGTAATAGGAGGTGAGTCAAACCAAGCGCTTGCGTTCAACTTCAACAGCTGCCAGATCAACAGAGCTGGCCTCGCCGTGTCTGCGTCTCTCAGACAGACCATGACTGCAATTGAAATCAGCACTGTTAGAGAAAATGAAAAGATGAACACATGCTTTCTTGAACGACTCGAGCCATCCTGTTCCTCTCAGGCAACACTCTTCAGGAACATTCAGAGCAATCTCGAGCCTCTTCCATTGCTTGATCAACATGGCACCTGTCACAGTGCAATTCTTTTGTTCCATATCAAGTGCCCAGAGACCAAGGCCCCAATCAACTTTGGGTGAAGTGACAATGCGCTCACGCTTGAGCGAAAGTGCGGCAGAGTTTTCAGTAGCAAGTTTTAGAAGGGCAGCCTTCTCCTCCGGATTGAGGTGTTTTGAAAGCGTGCCCTGGGTGAAGAATAGCTTCCCTCCCTCAGCATTAGACCTCGAGGCAAAGAATTCTATGACATCTTTCTGCTTTGTCCCTGGATTTTTCTTGGCATACTGGATAACCTGCAGCCAGTCATAATTTGTGAGATTTTTGTGCCCTTCCTGCCCCAGAATAGCGGACGAGCAATGGGTTCTGTTAAGCTTTGGGCCAGGCTTCACGTGGGTAGCAGCTTTAGCATGTGCCTCAGTGGGATCACGGTCCCAAGCGCGGACAACATGAGATTTTGCAGTAGGCTCAACAGGCATAATGGACGGTATAGATGAGGGAAAACCAAAATTCAGGGCTCATGCATTATATTCTCACTTACAGGACTCATTGTTCACCCAAAAAGCCATTCCAACCTGTCAGAGAACACCTGCCATCACCCCTAATAAGGAATATCCCTGCAACAAAAATCACCTGGCCGTATTCTTTATTCTGGACGACAAACAATGGAATATTACTGCCTTCCCAACATGGGAGGGCCGATTTCCTATTCCTTCTCACGGATATTCCACATCACATTATTCCTTATTAACAACTCTGCTGTATGCAGAATATGCGCAAGTGCAGGCTATGCGCAGTGGAAAAATGCACGATATGCACGCCAAAATATGCAGAATATGCGCAGCACATGAGACGCGCAGGTGCAGGCTATGCACCATCAAAAATTCAGGATATGCACACCAGAAAATACGCAGAATATGTGCAAGTGCAGGCTGTGCACAGTCGAAAAATGCATGATATGCACGCCCACAAATACGCAGAATATGCGCAGCACATGACAGGTGCAGGTGCAGGCTATGTACAGTCGAAAGAAGCACGATATGCACAAATGCTAAGTAAATATTGACACTATGTGGAATCAAGCAGCGCCTGGTCCAGGAAAAACAATCCAGAATGATGAGTGGCCATGGAATACCCCTGCAGCGTTGTCAGAAAATGCCAGGAACCCAAAAGACCGAAAATATGCCATAATCTCGCAACTGGGTGCGATTTAATCGCAGGAAATGAGCACCCAATAGGACTGGGAGGTAAAAGTGAATAAGCACTGGAACTGAAGCGAAAAACCTGGCTCCAGTCCGCAGGCCACGGGGGGGGAGATTGTTGCTGGTCCAGAATGAGGGCTGACCGCGAAATAACCCTGCAGCGTAGTCAGACAAAGGAAAGAGCCCTAAAGATCAAAAATATGCGATAATATCGCTCTGGGTGCGATTAAATTGCAGGATTTGAGCGCCCAATGAGAGAGGGAGGGAAACCCAAATAAGCGTGCATCTGAAGCGAAGAGGCATTCACAGCTTGCAGGGTATGGGGCAGGGAATTTTGTAGCAAATGGGCGGCCAGAATTCAAAGGAATGGACTGGGATTACTGTCTGGAAGATCAGGGGGTTGGCAGCTCGAAGTAGGCAGAAAGGGGAGGGTTCTGAAGGCTGGGGGATGTAGACGGCGTCGTTCTAATGCCAGGATCGAGTCAACGAGCAGTGTATATGTTGAGCTCCAACTGTGGGAAGAGAGGGAAATACTCAGCTTTGTGCATGGAATTGGGGTGTAGGCCCAGAGACACTCTCAAATAGCATCCAAATTTCGAGCTTGAGACAGATTCCATAGTTCACAGAGATGTATGCAGACACTGTCAAGTTCTGGGTGATAGTCAGTCATAGAGAACCATAAAAGAGTGTGTAATAAGTAGTGTTGCCGTGGTCCAGGTCAGAACCTGAGTGAACCCGGTTCGAACTTGAACCGGACCCCAGGTCCAGTTTGCCGAGATGCCCGGAACCGGAATGAACCGATGGTCCGGTTCAAGGTTCAGCTGGAGGTGAAAAAATCTGGACCGGTCCGAACCTGTTCGAACCTGTTTGAACCTGAGTTTTTGGCCTGTAGTCATAGGCTCATTGGTAGCAGAAATACACCTCCGAGCATGCATGTTCCCATGGAATCAGCTATCATACCTATAATAGTGGACTAGCAGGTCATATGTGCTTCTCGTAGGCAATGTATTTACATGTGTGTGTGTGCGTGGTGCTTCAGTCTTGTCCTGTGACTAGTACTCCAATGGCTCTAATCCCCTCAGGAAAGTCTCAGGTGCCTAAAATTGTTGCTAGGGACGTGAATCTTCACATGATGCACACCGCTATGATCAATGATGGTGCTCTGTACCTGTTGCATGTTGCATAGCGTGGGCATTTTGCGCCCTCAGGTTTGAAGTTCGAACCAAGTTCGAACCTGAACTTGACCTGAAAGAACCGAACCGCAGGTCCGGTTCACCTGCTTTGACCAAACCTGAACTGGACCTCAGGTTCAGTTCAAGGTTCGCAGAATTTGGGTGAAAACCGGACCGCACTGAACCGCGGCAACACTAGTAATAAGAGCGCAGAAATGGGAATTTGTTGAGGATGAGATTGCCGGCAGGTGGGTGGAAGGACAGAGTGAGCTCACAGCCACCCCTGCTCTTCAGCTCTCTCCCTCACAAGATGATGCATTGATCTCCCTCTCTCACTCAATGCATCCATATGACATCAAGCTATCACTGATCAGTGATCCATCACTTGCTTATCAGCATATAGTTCCGGGCCTCCATACTACTCAATATACAATGATCTGGGATTGGTTCACACTGCTCATTAGTACGGATATCCGATTCGGATTACATATTGTACATACACCCTTTGTTCATAAATGAACAGTCAAGCGCATTCACTAGACCCGAAGGTAATGTCTGAGAAATAAGGGCCTGAGGAGGGATTTACGACAAATCTCCCCAAAACGCGGAAGTAAAACGCACCGAGATGATCCCCAATCGAAACATCGAACAGCGAGTTACCGCTGATGCAATTCTCATTATCCTGACCTGGACAGGAGACAATGTTGCGCTGTGACGAGTCCACGATGTGGATCTCTCCGCTCGGATGTGCAAACTCGAGCAGAAGCGGAGGGACACTTGGAACTGGGTCATGTTGGTTGGTCATGAAGGTCACGCCGCCCTGAATCGCAAACCGTCAATGGCATCGTCGGCCGGAGCGAAGGTAGGGCTCACGTTGGAATCAACGAAGTTGGCCCACGCCTGGTTTCCCGCCCGTGGCATCCCAAACGTCGAGATCGTCACGCTCACGGACGGGTCGAGCGATTCTCGCAGCATGCTTCCCGTCAACATTGCCAACGCTGCCCCTGGAGCAGAGGTGCGTCAAAACAACAACCGCCACGAGAGCTACTGCCACGGACCGAGGCTGTGTCCTGTGACCAGAACGTTGCTCGCGCCTGTGCTCAGGAGCGCAGTCTGCACACCGGAGAGAATGCCGTCCGCCGTCCGTTCGAAAGTCGATTGGAAGCCAGTGTGTACTTTGATGCCTTGTCCAGCTGCGCGAGGAAACCTCGACTCGTCGATGTCGTCCAGCAGAAATTCGACGTCATTCACTAGAGAGAGTCTGATCCTGATCAGACACTCTCGATTATCCACCACTAGGAAATATACGTACATCTTGTTGGGATCAGTCCCTTCGTGGGCCACGACGATGGAATCCTGTTCTGGATCGTGGGCGATAAAATCTGTGATGCGCTCAAACAGTGATTCGCGTTCACACCGGAAGGAAACGCACAGAAAGGAATAGAGCCCTGGTCTACGCAGGTCAGTCGGATGCTAAACAAACAAGCAGTGCGCTCACCTCCTCCAGCCTGCAGAAACTTGACACCATTGACCTGGTCGCACGGCAGACCGCAGCTCCAGCTCTCGAGCGAGGCGCCGGAGCAGTAGGCTGCACGCGCAAATTGAGCGGGGCGGAGAAGCGTTGAGTTGACAGTAGCCAGGGAGAGTGGCGCTGGGGTGCCCTTGCTCTCGGGTGCACCGAAGGTGTGTCCGAAAAGGGAGAAGGGCAAAGCGGTGACGGTGACCGCGCATGCTATTAAAGAGAGTGTGGCGGAAAGCATACTGTGGAACCAAGGAGTGACTTGCACAAATGAGTCGGCGCTGCCGGAGAAGCAAGGGAATCGAACGGAGCGTGGGGCAGAAGGGCGATGCTGCAGGGAGCTGGGTCTTAAGGGGGCTCTGCGGTTCTATAACAGCCTTATCATGATTCAGGCTGGATGGGCCATCTACATCTTGACGGGAGACGGCCAAAGACGTGGACAGACAAAGTTGGCACGGGATCGCGACGTGAGCGACAGCCCGGAGCTCAACTCCCACATCGTGACGGGCCTCTAGGGCTCGAAACCGATTCTTCATTTCGGAACTGAGTCTGGGTCAGCTGAGAAGTGCTCGCAAGCCCCTCTGCACCATGAACAAACCCGAGCACTCACAGTTACCACTCGGATCTGCATCTGCCACACATGAAGTCGACCCACTCATGCCAATCAACACCTGTTGCTGATCGTCTGTCCCTGCCTTCGATCACCCACAGTTGTTTCATGTCAATCCTCCACCGTCAAATGGTTGACGGATGTTGTTTCTTGGGCGTGCCTGTTTGCAGTGGGTGCAAGTGTCACGGTGTCACGATCCTATGATTATCACTGCCACGCATCCTTCCCTTTCTCTCAAGCATCATCGAGGGCAACAAACGTAGCACCTCACGCAGCCGTTGAAAACATGTTCGTTCTTCCTATTTGGTCTGGGTCCTGACGAAGTTTCGGATGCACACCTCGCCGAGTCACCCGATTGCCGCCCAACAAGCTATCGTTCTCTCCCACCAGGGTCTCTAGACTCTCTACTGTCCCGGGCCCTACCAGTCTTCTTTCTTTACCCGACCCACCTCTCAAACATCAGTCACTCATTCATCTGCTCCGCCCAGGTCACGACAACCTAGCAGGGTCTTCGAGCTTCGGCACTTGCGCTCTCTGTTCGACCGATTCTTTGCACAGATGGTGTGAAACCAAGATGCCCAGAGCTCAAGCTTTCAGGCGTCCCGCAATCCGGCTTTCGATGAGGGGCTGCTCGCCTGAGCGTCACACGGCACCGCCGTCGTCTTTTCACCTTCACTAGGCACCCGGACATTCTTTCTGCCAGAAACGGAGTTGGAGTGACGCCTGCTTCGTAGTCGGATCTCGAACCGACCTTCAAATGCGCGCAGCGCCCTTGTTTACTTCAGTGACTAGATGCAGTCGATGCCTCCTCGGTGGTCGACTAGCAACTGCCCGTGCGGGACATGGCTACCTCGTCGTGTATGGATAATCACGGTCTCTCTCCCCCTCTCTGGGCGCAGAACCCTGCCCTCATGTTCCGCTCTGCATATCGCTCTCGCATGTCCCTGTTCTTGCGCTGCGCGGAACTCCGACTGACCAGACATGTCGCACTTGTTCGCCGTCAAATCGAGGCCTTTCACAGCAGACGTATGGTAATCCCCGAGAACCTGACTTGTCCACTCTTCTGCCCTTGCACCCCCGACCCTCCTAGCCAACTAGATGATGGCCATTTCATTCGGCTGCTGTGGCAGCCGAACGCCGGGGGGCGAGACCTGTGCGCTTCCGCCTATACTCGGGGCTGCTACTCATCCTCTTCTTTACGCTCGCCGTGTCTTGTTCTCCTCGCCACGAGATCTCTCCTTCCACTGGCCAGACATAAAGAGTACTGACACCTAGATTACAAAATTGCAGTAGATAGCGAAGCATGTATAGCTAGCTACTCGATACCAGTGGGGAGTTCTTGACTCGTGTAAATAGCCGCGCCCTAGCATGTCGTCTCCTAGCCCAGTATCCACCAGAGTCGGTACAAAGTCATCAGCAGTGATATCTTGGCCGCGCGTACTAGTAACGCCTGTCACATCTCAGGCCCTACCGTCTCCTCTACCGCCGAGCCACATGATGATGAGTAGCAGGAATCGGCATTGAAGCCTCAAGTTTTCCAGAACTCGATATTCTCCTCTACGAACCGCCGCACGTCACGCTCATCCGCCTCACACCTCCGCTCCCCAATCGCCCGCTCGCTCCCATTTTCCACGGGGACCAGACTTGTATCCGCGCGACACAACAACGCCTGCCTCAAGTAATCAAAGCAATGCTCTGTATGCGTTTCGCCGACGAGGTCGCCGAGCCCGTCCCGCACGGCCGCGTACGCGAAGCGCACCGCATTCACGCAGTGCAGCTGGTGGTACAGCGCAATCGAGAAGACCGTCCCGTTCGGCCCGAGGCGCACGAAGCCTGCGCCTTCGGGCAGGATGTTTGCGGCCCAGACCGCGTCGTCTTCCATCGGGAACGCAAGATCCTCGGTTGCCGGGATGAGCGCCGATGTGATGGGTAGGAAGAGGTGGGAGAGGCGGGAGGGGACTGTGGGGTACTTATCTTATAAGCAGTGAGTCACTCTGAGCGAAGAGCGAAGAAGGGATGGGCTGACTGAATTCGTGCCTAGTGTATGCTTTCGAGAGGCTGCGTCGGTTGGAGGTCGTCACGACCAGAAACGCATTGACCAAGCATGAAGCGCAAAGGACGAGTACAAGCCACCATTGGGTACGTGGGGATATCTCAGTCCTGGAATGCATGGTCGTTGGCTGAGAACGGGCGCGATAGAGGATTCCGATACTAATATCGCAAGCGTGGCTTACGATCGCAGCACAGCGCTCAGACGATTGTTCTCTCCTTCCTGATCGGCAGATCCTAGTACCTTCGTTTCCGTCTCGATATCGAGTTTCACACCGATGAAACGTTTCTCAGATTCGCAATCTCTTCGCACGCATCCTGATGATTCGACATGGAATCTAGGTGCCGTCATGTTCGATGGTTGGCTGCATAGTCCGCTCCTCATTCACTGTTCTACTATCTGTTGACTTGCACTCAAACACGAGTGCAAATGGGCTCGGATACGTGGCCCCAGACTGGTGCAACTGGTCAGCCCCTTGTTCTTGTGATATCTGGTGTCGCAATCCCCTTGTTCTTGTGATATCCGGTGTCGCAATTACATGCGAGGAGTGCTTCCGACTCTCGGACGTCTACGACATACCAGCATCAACATCAGTCTATGGTTTGAATCAATCTCTACGTACAATGTTATCGAATACGGCCGGAGCGAAACCTGAATGCATGCCAAAGTACAGGAGGGCGGCGAGTTTCAAGATGATCATTGCCGTTGGTCTCCCGATCGAAATGCCGAGTTTGTCTTACATTCATGGCTGGTCTCACGCGATTTTCATCACCGTGCGATACTCTAAGCTGCATGCGCTAGGAAGGCTGCGGGAAATCAATACAGGTGGACGGCGTTTGACCTCGAAGCTCTCCGCACGACTGCTCCGTCGATTCCCACCCGAATCGGCAGAGTCTTACCACAGACTGACGTGCTTATCAGTGCGGTCGTTGCCTTCTAGACCCTGCAATCAGAATGCATCAAGACCGTTGCTGCTCATCAGGTTGATTCTCCCGCTTGTGAAGACGACCTCGTTGTTGACAACGCGCACGAAGTCTCATATCCGAGATCGAAAGCTGCCTGTAGTAGCAAATCACACAAGCGTTCAGCGTCCTCTTCGATGTGATCTCTGGCGTGCCCCATCATATATTTCTGTTTCCAGTTACATGGAGGAAAGTCACAAGTTGAAGATGCGGTAATGGTATATTCATGGACGGGAATCATCCCAGCAGTGCGGTGCGGACGGGCTCCGACTTGCGGCCCCAGAACGGTGCTGCATCAGTCAGCCTCCCGTGATGGTCTCTCCCGCAGGGAATATACGCACCATTAGTGATATTGCCCCCCGCACTAGTACTCTGAGTAAGTTCTATGGGAGCATTGATATCAAAACTGAGTTCCAACCTCGCAGAAGGGAAGGTGTTTACGCACGGGATGTGCTCGATGCAGTGTCTGCGAGCAGGAAAAATGGGAACATTGATATTGAGATTGAGTTCCACACGCACGGACGGGGGGTGTTTACGCACGGGACGTGGTCGGTGCAGTGACTGCGAGTACGGAAATAAAAAGCATCTGAATTCCACTCTTGAAGAAGGCAAAGTGTTTACGCACGAGATGAGCTCGATGCAGTGACTGAGAGTACGGAAATAGAGAGCATCTGAGTTCCACATTCGCGGAAGGGGAGATGTTTACGCACGGGATGTGGTGGTCGGTCCAGTGGCTGCGAGCAGGAAAATGGGAGAATTAATATCGAGACTGAGTTCCATACTCGCGGAAGTGGTGGAGATGTTTACGCACAGGATGTGGTGGCCGGTGCACCCGCTGCGAGAAGGAAGATAGAGAACAGCGATACAAAAGTGGCGAGCTTCACAATCATCTTGGTTGGATTGCTGGATTTCGAGATGACCCGACTTGCAGTGGCTGCACTTTATAAAGCTGTCTGTCTTCCGCCTTCGATACCAATCATCGCGACGACGTCGACACTAAGGTTCGAACTTTCAACAGTCGCTGCTAGAAGAGTGCAACATCATCGTCGAGAAGCAGCCTCAAGGGGTGATAGGTACTTTGTTTAGCAACGTCACTGCAACGGCTGCGCATGGGCTTATCAGTTTGGCAGTTCTTGAACTCTTCTCGGAAGCCAAAGCTGTGTGATGATTCACAGCAGTATGGGCATCTGATCGGCTGTACAAAGTCCCTTCACTTCCTTCCATACCTCGTCCGATGCTCACCTCCACCCAGACCACCTGGCTCGTTGTAGCTGTTGCCCTCAGTCTCATGTTCAATGTGCTCAGCTACCGCCAACTGAATCTGCCGTTCGGTGTGGGAATTCTTCGTCTGACCACAGGACCTGACTAACCTGACAATCGTTGCATTTTCAGCATCAGATCTAGAACTGGGAGCACAGCTACCTCTCAACGAGCTGCCGCTCCTCGTCAGACCCGCCGCCCTTCAGTTCAGCCTCATTGCTGACAAGTACCGCATCGCGGACGACGCCGCTTGGGCCTCTCTCATCCCATCAGACGGCCGAATTCGGTCGCCATCAGCCGCCGCTCCCGGTCGGAAATACTTCACCGTTGGGCTGTACTCCGATCTGCACTGCCTCAACCTCCTGCGCACCGCGTACCTCGCGCACAAGGACAAGCACGAGTCCGGAATGCGCTTTCCCGTGGACGCATTGGCTCCGCAGTGCGTCAGCCAGCTGCGCCAGGCGCTCACTTGCGCGGCCGACCTGACGCTCGATCCCACGACTTCGATATGCGAGCCGGATGGCACGTGTGATCCGGCCGCGGCGGGGCATTTGGTTGTGCATAAGTGTCGAGATTGGGCACAAGTGAGAGAGTTTGTAGAGATGAATCAGGCTCGTACAGAGTAGACAGAAATTTGACGACCCCTTAGGTACAACGATTCAATAATGCTCATGTTGAGATGCTCAGGACTATTTTGGTCACAAATCGCCGGTGAATTGATCAAATACGTGATTTCTGTGCGCTTTACAAGTGACAAAAAACTTGCACAGGTCCGGGGTTATCTCAAGGTTGGGTCATTCGTAATATGGATTCACCATAAGCCGCAAAGTTTTCTATCATGTTACAACAAGTATCCAGTTCTTTTTTCATGGAGCGACACACAACCAGATATGCCTGGTCAACAATGTTTCAGTCGGTCATCGATACCCGCGGAAACAAGTGGATGGAGAATTGAAGATGGATTTGTTTTCCATAGTAAAATGTCTTCTTTTTGAACGAAGTTTTCTACTTTCAGAGCGAGGCTCGCCGTCCACACATCGACAATTCAGAGCCGACTGAGGAAAGCAATTCACCTGATCTGATCCCTTATTTGTGTCCTCTCTGCCCGTCCCTTGCCGCCGAAGAAAACGAAACGCAGATTTTCCTACCATAAATAGATCACGAGCAGGAATCTTTCTGTGGCAGACAGTATGCGGACAAAGCCGACAAGATAAGATCCTGCTTTTATCAATCAAGTCGCATCACTTCCGTGTCACATTGCTGATGAGCATATCATCTGATCATGATCAACTGTTCTTTGTGCTCTCCTCTCCTCTGCCCCGTCCATCCCGATCTCAGGCTCTCTTCCCGGCCGATATGCAATTCATTTTCTCTGCCGCGTCCATTCCGTGCATTCTCGGAAGCGTAACTCGTCGCCACGCACCAGCGATGCCCAATCTTGATCCCCGCGCGATGGGCGGTGCAGAACGAGACGGGGCGGGACCTAGGCAACGGCCTCCTGCGCCGTGAAACGTTCTGGATCCGTTTACGCCTCTCTCGGCTCCGCCAAAGCTGTAACTCCCACGCGAGTTTCAGTGCATACACTGTCGAGAGCTGAGGTGAATCACACCGCGTCGGGCCGAGCACAGCTGAGTAGGGATGACTCGGCAGGAGGATTCCATGATCGGCAGGCGTATCGGGGCGCAGTCTCCGTTTCAACAGCAGGACCGCAAGGACTATAAGAGGCTGGTCCCGAATCTTGACCGGTATTGAAACCCAACCTCTTCCACTACCCCAGAAGCATGACAATGTTCACAACTCGTACCCTCATCTTCCTTGCAATGGCATTCTCTGCATCCACAGCGGTGATTGCAGCCCCAGTCACAAGTCTTCCCCCCTCAGCCGGTCAGTACCTAACATCTCCGTAAACGAGTTGACATCTCATCATCCAACCATACGAAGCAGGCTCCATGCCCTCCTCCATCAGCCAAGCACCACCAGCGTCAACATCGCAGGCAGCTCATAAGTTCGCCCCCGCATTCTGGGGACGAATTGCAGAGCCCAAGAGAGCGGGTGAGTCGCCTGCGTCACAATCTCGTTCGCCACGCGCCCATCTGAACGTCTTGTGCAGACTACACCCGATAGACTCGTTCCCAGTCCAATACATCCACCACACACATACCCCTATCTAAATTCGTATACCCCCACACGTCTGGGTTCCAGCGTATTTATTGCCCCGTTCTAATCCGTAAATAAACATTGCAGTAAGTAGAGTACAGTACGTCCGCACAGTCCGCACACTCCAGTGGGATTGTAGATTGTCATAAATTCGTCTAGTTTAGTACCTGTGATAAGCGTGTCCCTCGGCTCAATTCTCAAACCACAATATCCAGTGTACCTTCCAAAAGAGCTGGATGCAGGCATATGTTCTCGCGGCAGACAGGCTGCTGATCTTAAAGGCTTGGATCCAACGCTATACAAATACGCTATTCCGACCCGTTGAAAATTGATTAGAAGACGGTAAAGGTGAAGAGGGATGGGGATTTTCCGATCCAGCGGGCCTCGAATCAGCCGGGAGACAAACTAGCGATTGGTTGACAATGCCCACTTTTAACTGCCGTGTGGGCTAGTCTCAGAAATGAAAACAAGGAGCCTTTTCTGCAATCGCCATTGTGCATTAGGTCTAATTATCATTGAATTCCTTATTGATACCTTGTCGCCTCTTTTTGCCCAGCACTAGTCCTTCAACTCCCCCACCGCTGGTATCCGAACTCTCGTTCTCTACTTTCTTAGATAGTCGAAGACAGTGGTTTTCACCCACTATATCCCATCCCACCATATCCCGTTGTATTCCTACCGCTGGCGATCTGAGCAGCGAGACATTCAATTCCTAATCTGAAATCCTGGGTCTCGTGCTTGGCTGCGCCATCGATCCGGAAGTGAAAACGTCGGATATGGTAGACACGTTCTTGGCGCAGCCAAATGTGAGGCGCACACCGCACATCGTCGGTGTTCAGGACCAGGTCGCTGGTGTCCAGTGTGCGAGAGTGGAAGGCGGCGGCAGTTTGAGTATAGAAGTCGAGACACTTGTGACTCCGGAACGTATTTGAGCGACTGCCATGGTTGAGCTGAAGAAAGATCCATGCGGAGTGCGAAAGGTCGCCAAAGCGCAACGGACGGGGGCGGTGCTGGTGCTCGTAGTTTTCTGCGTTCGACGGCGACCGCAGGTCTACAACGGAGACAAAGATTGGTCCGAGCTGAAGGGGCTAGACCATTCGGACTTCGGCAATGCATCACTTCAGGCAGACTGGATGCCGATCCTCGAAGCATCAACGGACGCCATCTCCAGGTCTTGCAGCCCCATAACCGCACCCCAGTGCACCAGAATCTCCTCCTCTCTCACACCCAGATCCCAGTCCAGCACCTCGAGAAACTCTCTTTCGATGCGCCCGACGTCGCGGCGTCCGAACACCCCACTGCACCGCGCCCACTGGCCGTTGCGCAGCGTGCTGTCCTGCGTGTACTTGCTCGCAGCAATCAGCGCACCGAGGAAGATGCGCTCAAGCGCCCATGCCGGGGATATGATGGCGAGGTGCCGCCGCGCGCGCGCGACGTAGGCGAGGGCGACGAAGACCGTCGCGGATCTGACCTCGGCGCGGGAGAGCACTGATCTGACGAAGGGTGTGAACTCGTCGATGGGGAGGGAGGCGGTGCGTGGTGCGATGTGGGACGGGTGGTGCAGGTCCCGAGTGAGGCCGTGCCACACCGCATCGGCGATGCACTCGACGATGTAGTCTGAGAAAAATTAACGAATCAGCAGCCAGCCCTTTTACGGTCACGTGTGGTCAGGTGCCTACCTATGACAGATGACGTCAACTGCACGTCCACGAGCTGGAGGATGGCGGAGGAGTGGGACATGGGATCTACCAGCGAGGCTGGATGAACGGGCGAGCCCGAGTTTGATTCCGAACTTGTCGATGCAGGGGACCAAGACGAGTAATCCACAGTTGGGGACATGTAGTAAGCAGTTACGGGCGGCGAGTGGTTAGGTCCATCCCTGCTGCGACCCGGGCAGTTATATATACCTGTAAATTTTCGATGTAGCTGAACGGAGTTTTGTGAAGCCAACGAAACCGGCAAGCCGCCACGGAAAAACGGTTATCGTGGTGGACGTGTGGGATGGATCTGACATAGCTTGCTGATTACATTTGGGCATGTTCCCACGATCTCTCAGTCAGCAAGCTGCGCACAGTCGTTCGTTGAAGGCATGAGGGAAATCGGTTGCTACTCTACAGTCATTGAACCCTATCTGCTGTCAGTGCAATCCTTGCGAGCGCGTTTTTCGGGGGTTATCATTCTAGGCGTGAGCTCTGCGGAAAAGCCGGCAGACGGAGAGGGTACGTGAGAAAGATGCCAGGTACGACTAGTTCATGGCCGAAGCTGACCAAGACCGGCGATCCATGACGACAGCGCGTTTCCGTCGCCGATTTTTCCTCAGAAACAAGTAGCCGCCAAAGATGACACAGCAGAACACATCGTGTTTGCGAGTCTTGCCAAGCCCGCTCCCCACCAGCAACAACCAAGGGTTGAAGGATGTTGTCCCTGGATTTGCGGGCGAAAATTCCATCCTGAATATCCAGGCTCCTCTGGCCCGTTTGGACTGACAGTGACAGACACCTCGGACAACGCCAACGTGCCAAATCTTCAAATTGAAATAACCTTAATCGCAACCCATCCTCAAGGTACTACAAGCGGCACTGCTCTTTCAAAACTTTGTCACTCGCTCACTCTTAGAACGGAGGACTGCCATATGAATTTCGGTGACACCATATGCGTTTCAGTCATTCATCATGTGAAACTATTCCGTGAGCATATCTACTACGTATCGAGCTTGCCTCGATCCTCGTCAAGGATCTCGCGTACTTGATGGTTGCATAGTGCTCGATTACGTCAATTAGAGACGGGGACTGTGTACCGCCACTGATTCCCTGCATGATGACACGGTTGAGGTGAGTCATCCGTCTGGCGGACTTGCGCGCGCGTCAAGTCCGTTAGCATTTTGAACTGAATGGCGCTGGGAGCGATCAGGAATATTCACAGGGCATCTGTTGCATCTGAACACAGGCCAACGGACCAATGTAAAAAGCGACCAACCGACGGAAACGATCTGCGCGGAGGCCGTGCTGAACCAGGTCGCCGACGAGACAGCGCGGGAACACCCATCTGAGTCTGAGACGGAGAACCATGCGAGCTGCCCCCAATCGATCTGCGGCTGCCGCAAGACTTATGCGAGCGAGCTGGATTTGTAAATGCTCGTTCTTTCGGGATGTGTAAGACCGGTGTTACAGATGTGTCTTAGAAGTTCGAGCGAAGGTCGCATCGCACAGCCTAAGGTCCCTTCGTGCAATCGAGCAAACATAATCAAGTCGTGTGACACAGAGTGGAGGACATCCAAGAATTGATAGTGATCGCAGACCACTCCCTTGGGCTCAGCGTGACCTTGCACCGTAGATCAATGCTCTGCGGCGGTCGCAGCTGTTTATTGCACCGCAGTATGGATTGCCTCATTCATCCTTCTCAACTATGAGCTTGTGATTCATCCACCAAGCATTTTTTTCTCAAAAGTCAAGTCTTGCTAGTTTCAAATTCCACTTGGGTTTCTTGGCAGGTCCCTAGCTCACCAATGAAAGAGATAAGCTGTTACTCCAAAACTTGACCTATCATATAGGGAAGAGATGCAACAATCGATTATGCAGGTTTGAAGAGAGAACCTCACACAATATTCCAGCTGTCTGTCCTGATACTTCACATAATTTCCTCGATGATATTTAGCCCCCGTCCGTCTCACACATCCACGGGACTCTGCGCTCTATGACAGGTCCCTCTTCATCCCTGTGCCTGATTAATTCACCTCCGAAAGTCGGTGTGGATCCTCCCAGAGTCCAGACACAGGAGTTGGGATGTCTAGTGCGAAGCACGGGATTTCCACTCCAGACCTGACCAACGTGCGTGAAAAGCCAAGCCCCTCAAGAATTTGCCGTTACGAACCCCAGTTCCCCGCGTGATGATTCTTTTTGCGATAAACTTGCGAGCTTCGGATGATAGGGCCATGAAGCTCCAGGGACAATTGCGGGGAGACATCCCGCATACATCGATTCTCGAGTGCATGCTGCATTTTCCTGTAATTATTGAGAGGGTGGCCTCGATTGTCTCCAAAACGAGGATCCGATTCGATGATATCGCAATCTGATACGATAAGATGAACTGATATGGGGAAGGAGTCAAAAACATGAGCGTGTAACAATTAATCTCTGACCGATCGAAATCCCAATCGCTCAACACTTGTGCGTTTAGTGCTGGATTCATCTGTCTCAGGCCATTACTAATGACATGGATCGCCAGCCAAAAAAACACGGCGCCCACAGCGGGAGAACAGACCCCCAACATTGGGGCAAATTACTTTCTTCCTGTTCTCTTCTGTGCTTAGCAGGAATCCTCCAGATCATATGAGGACGTGAGGTTGCCCTGCCTCCCACGATAAAATGATTTAAGGCTTAGATATACGAATAACAATTTTCGGACGTTTCGAAAGAGTAGCTATACGCAAAAGTGTTCAAATCAGCCATCACAGTCTGATAATCTACCCTCCTCGATGTCTCAGCGGGCGAGCATCCCTCCGAGTCGCGCAAGGAATCAGCTGCCGACCGCGCGCACCGCGCTGAATCGATCGAAATTCTCGGAGTCGAAGCCAACCAACCAACCCGCTCGCTCCGTCCTCAACGGTGCGCGGGAGCAATCCATCTCCCCCATGCACCCACCGCCGTCCACATACACACTCGACCTGGAATTCACGTGCCGGACGACCATACCTTGGCGCACACATGGACACGGTTGAGGAGCGCGGAGACTGACGTGGCCCGCTCCGTGCTCGGCGAGGGGCGGTGCTCCCCCGCTATTGTAAGTGTCGCGCGTTCCCGGGCCGGCGGTCCCGGCGGTCCAGACCCCCATCCACTCTAACCACCCTCCGGCACGGGTTTTCAAGGTCTTCGGATTCCGCTTGGAACGACCTTGGGCTTGCTTGGTCCGATACCGCTTATGCTACCTGGCCTGCAGACTTGCTTGTCCCTTACTTGTCGTCGGTCCAAGCCAAGCGTCGTCCCAATCTGCGGCTGGCTCCGATTCCGATTCCGATTGCGATACCGATACCGATGCCGATACCAATGCAGACACGAAAGGACGTTTCCAGAAAACGAGTGACAGCCAGGCCTCGCACAGGGCGTACGGCTGTGGCGGGTATCCGGGCGGGTATCTGGCACATGACACGTCTGCTGTTCTACTTACATGGCTATCGTACTTGCCTCGCCAGCTTACTCGACGCGGGGACTGTGCGCAGCGTTAGCAGATAAGGCAGAAGCGGCGCTTGACTTTACAGCACGCATCAATCAGAAACCCTGCGCCTCAGAAGAAGGGGGGTGGGGACGTTGCGCTCTCTTTCATCTATCCCACTTCATGCACAGCGGCCACTCTATCAACCCGGGGCTCAAACCTCCATTTCGCTTCACTTCTTACCCCACAACGAGAGTGTTGGCGCATCGCAGGCTGTTTGGCAAGCTTAGATTTGACTTGATTGAAGAAGCGCACCGCGCAGGCCACGCAGATTCAGTCAGAATGAGGCAAGTCAAGATTCTGATTTGGAGCGCGGGGCTCTGGGTAGATGTAATGCACAGTGATGTAAATATGGGGTGTGTGTGTACAATAGATGGTAACAAATGCAATGCGATGCGATGTGAAGGAGTGGTGCGATGCGAGGAGCCGGCTGGCTGGCAGAGAGTGATGAGATAGATAGGCAGGAGCTGTGCAGTCCGTCGCGCGGCCAGAGCCCGTGCACTGAGACAGACAGGCGACCTGGTCGCGCGCGCGTGTGTATGGTGTGGTACATATACGCAGGGCTGGGCGAAAGGCGCGCGTGCGCGGATCGCGGGTGTGTGTGTTAGAATGATGGCGATGCAGATAGCATGGAGGGAGTGTGCCCGCCGCTCACGCGATACGGAAATGATGGTGTCCGGGCATGGGGAACGCCCGCAGGAGATCGTTCAGGTTGTTGCTTGCGCTGGGCTTGGCGGCACCGGGGCGGTTCGACTGGTAGTGCGGCCGGCCAGTGCTGGAGACGTCCACGTGGATGTCAGGGGTTTCTGGGGGTGAGAGACTGCCGAGGCTGCTGGTGGGGCTCGAAGGTTCGAGATCGGGCACGGCGAGCGAGGAAGAGCGGGAGTGGTGGCGGAAGGGTGGATACGACGGTGACGTGGATGACGAGGAGGAGGAAGGAGGAGATCGGGAGGACGACGGCACGGGTGCCACGGCCACTTGGTACATATCCCCATGCACCGCACTCATCAGCCCATCCCGATGCCTCAGCACATCCTCTTCCTTCACATTCAGCTCCCAATCCAGCACCTCGAGAAACTCGCGCTCGATCCGGCCCACATCACGCTTTCCAAACACGCCCGTGCAGAGCGCCCAGTGCACGTTCTTCAGCGTCGAGTCGTTCGCGTACTTGCTCGCGACGATCAGGGCGCCGAGGAAGACACGCTCGAGCGCCCACTCCTCGAGCGCGATGTTTAGGAACGGCCGCGCGCGGTGGATGTACACGAGCGTCACGAGCGCCGTCGGCAGCGCGACCTCTGCGCGCGACAGCACCGTCGCGGCGAAGGATGCGAACTTGGCGAGGTACGGCGAGCGGCGGCGCGTCGTGCTCGTGTGGCGGCCGCGTGTCATGGGATGGTGGTGCCCTGCGGCCGCAGATCCCTGGGAGCGGCTGATGGCATGGTCGACCGTATCAGCGGTGCATTGGACGATGTAGTCTGTGGCAGGGACTCAGAAGAGAAGAACGACGCCAAGCGCAGCAACGTACCGATCACCGGCCGAGAAAGCTTGACGTCAATGAGTTCCATGATGGCTGGGGAGTGCGCGGAGGGATCCACGAGCGACGCGGCGTGGACGGGCGAGCTACGGCTCGAGCCTGACGACGAGGATGACGGAGAGCACGGAGGATACCAGGAGGCGTAGTCTTGCATGGCGGCTCTTATCCGACGGGCTTGCGATGCAATGGTCTAAGAAAGAGAGCGTTGGTGCGGTCTCCGGAGGATCTGGGTCCAAGACGGGGAAGTGTGGCCATTGGGCTGACGGTGCGCGGCATATATATACCACTTGGCCTGGTGGTGACGGAGCAAATTGCGCTTGTCAAAAAGACGACACAGCAAGCCCTACCAAATCGGGTCGGGGTCAAATCGGGATGCCGAATCGGGGCCGCTGAGCCAGCTCAGAGGCTTCCCGATTTGGAAATGACCACCGTGATGGCTTGGGCCGTCGGTGTTCAAAGCGCTGAACGCCGGCATTGGCTTGGCTCAGGACTCAAGTAGCGACCCCTTGCACTTATTCGTCGTGGGGCTCCAAACGCTTGGCCGATACTCGCCTATCTCTCATACATACGTAGTAGTCTCGGGGCTCCGACGATGATTTCCGCGTCTCGCCGACGATGGCTTCGAGGCGCATCGTGATTTCTTTTCTAATTCTGATGGAAATAGAACTGCGTCTCAAGAATTGTTGTGCGGACTATTTCGTGAGGTACCGCACTCTGGGATGAATATTCGAGATGCATGTCGCGCTCACTAACAAATGACAGATATTCGACGACGCCATTTCCTCCGTCATAACGCGCGATCATCTCCACTTCCAGCGGTCTGATGCGGGCATCTCGCCTTTTGAGAACATGCACGTTTCGTTTCGACCCGAATGTCTTGCTCCAAACTACTCGGCTGTTCGGCATCCCAATGCGCATCAAAATCCAGCGCAGACGGCCACGTCGCCGCGGTTGATGGCAACACTAATCCACGTGACTTTCCTTCCACTCACCTTCCTCGATGCACGCTATACGCCTTGGAGCTAGTCTACGTGCACGTCTGATGGGTCCCGCTGTAGTGCGGCTGGCCCCAAGCGCCCAACACAGGCACCGCGCTATGCCAAGGAGTATGGCTGTTGACATCGCAGGGACCGGCTAAATAAATCCTGTGCGCTCGGACTGACAGGATCAGGCTCATCGATGGATTGGATTGGAACCGCCCGTTTGACTAGCTGACTGCCCGCGAAGATCGTTGGCTGCTGTCGTTTCGAGCGTGGATCGCTGCAGCCCGTCACCGCGATGTGATCATCGCTCGCCGACAGCCAAGGGCCGGCCGACCCCGATTCCTCCGCATCAAACAGCAGCTGCCATGCGGCCTTTGGCAGCGTAAATGCGCCATTTCCCATCGTTATGCTATGCGTTTATTTCGTTGCCTGGATGCGCATCGAAATTGGAGCGGTAATGCGAATAAAAGTCGGCTTCCAGGGTCGTTCCGCATTCGGTCTGTCTGTCTGTCTGCGGAGCCCATGCCGGTGCTGTTGCCCACCAGGCTGTGGGCCGGTCGCATGGGTGCGCCGATTCCGGCACGCATGGCATGGCATCCCCCGGTGGCCTCGCATTCGAGCTGTTGGCGCTTCATTCGGAAACATGTTACATGTGGCCTGCATAGAATAGAATAATAGCAACACTGTGCACCCGGCTGCGGCTACTGTCGTGGCGTCTGGTACTCGGGTGGCCTCGCGCCGTGATTCCTCGCTGCCGCCTCGTTTGTCTTGTCTCGCCACCCCAACAGCGTCTCCATCGATCGCGACCCGGTTGCTGCCCCCACTCGTGCTGGCAAGTGCTGTATGTATGTGCTGTACGCAATCAATCACGGGTGGAGACTGTGGTATGTATGTCGGCCGTTTCATCAATTTGATCCTAATCGGGAATAAGGTCGCGATGCCGGCCGGGAGGACTCGGGCCTGTCTAAATATAACGCGCGCCGTGTCTCTCCGACTGGCCAACAACTCACCGACGAGCGACGCGGAGCAGATAGTGATTCTGACGTTGATGATTCCTGCTGGTGCTTGGACCGGGAACTCCAGCCCGGAGCCGCAACCGCAGATGGATCGGCAGAAGGAAGCTCGCGAGCTGATCCATCTAACCCCACCCGAGTTCTCTTTAGTGCGTCGCCCGCAGTGGTCTGCAGCGGAGAACCACCGGGCTAGTGCCGTACCTCCTAATGAGTCAGATCAGATTTACCTTCCAGCCCTTCGATCTACTCGCGCAGCTGCAGCAGGTCCGCTATCACAGGAGCCCGACGACCCCGTTCTGGGTTCTGTTGAAGAAGAAGAACGGCGAAGTGCTGACTCGCGAAATGCTGCTGCTGCTGCACCCCAGCCCAGACCGACCGACCGGGACTCCTCGTCGCTATCTCTGCTCGGCCGCCAAGCGTCCCATCTGCCAACCCGATTCCCCCGTGCGAATCCCTCTCTGAGTATGTGTGTGTGCGGGCGCGCGCGACGACGACTATTCGGAGTCGCACTCGCGCTCGCACTCGGGGCTGCTCTTCATCTTCTTCTTCTTCCTCCTCTTCCTCCTCTTCTTCGTCTGCTTCTGGCGTCGCGATCCGCATGGATCTGCTCTGCCCTGCATCCCTGTCTGTATCGCGCATTGTGCATCTGCTTCCCATCCATCCAACGCGCACATGCCAGCCGAACAGAGCGTCGGTCTGGGCCCCGCTGGACCGCCGGCCGGCCGGCCGTGCCGGGCCGGGCACCGGCGATGGCTGGGTTGGGTTGGGTTGTGTGTGGACCTAAGTATGATAGCGCGGTGCGACGCTGCGGAGGGTACTGGGTTCCGACGCGGCGTGGGATGGCGTGGGTGCCTGGGGTTTCATAGAGAACACGGCGTGAGTGACACGCGGATGTGGATGTGTGCGGTGCCTTCCCCTGGTCTCGATTGAGCTGGCGGTAGGACCATCTGCCACACACACCACACATGAATGCGGTGACAGCTCCCAGAGGCCCCTCCTGGCCGCTCGGCCCAGCTCAGCTCAGCTCATGCGTTTGAGCGATGCGGCTTCCATATCGATCAGCGCAGCATGCATCATGTGGGTCCACCCTGCTCGAAATGGACGCTCTCCCGTTTTGGTTCTTCCCCGCTTGGGCCTGACAGGCTCGCGTTTCGGCCGATGTGCCCATGTGAGTCCCACCACCGAATCAACCAAAGTCTGTGACGGTCTGGACCTCCATAATGCACTGAGGCACCCAGGCTAGTGGCACCCAATCTCACGCTAAGATGCTTCCTGGCTGTGCTGCGACATCTGCTGCTGCTCAAAGCCGAGGAGGAGGAGGAGGACGCTGCTCATATATCATCCATGACCGTGACGCCCGCGAACCAGCTCGCCAGCCCCATCCCGCGCTGTGAGCCGTGGAATCGAGTGGGCCCTCGCCCAGGCTCGGCAGAACTCTCCGGACGAAACAAACGATCCTCAGTTCCGTCTGCCTGCCTGCCTGCCTCAACCCGCGATTCGACCTGCCTCGGGTGTGTCGTGTACTGTAACCATGGCGGCGCGCGCTCCTGGCCATTGTTCTCGCTCCCCCGCATCACACAGCGCCTTCCCGAGAACAATAGCCCTCCGCCTTCTCGCTCTCTCTCTCTCGTCACACAATCCCCGCGTGCATAACAATGGGCCCGCTTGCAGAACAATAGCCTCTGATATACATCGCAGCCCCGGCCGCCTAGATCTCGAGTGGCGGTGCCACGCGTGTGTGGGTCCGCATCTGCCAGCCCGGGTTGATCTGATTCGGGAGGTCTGATGTACAGCACTTCCAGTGTTCTTGCATCTTACATACGAATCGCATCTTCTGAATTGAAAATCAAGTCAGAGGAAGCGGCCGGCCGCGGTGCAGCGCAGCGCAGCACATGCACATGCATATGGGCTGGCGGAACACACAGCACATGTGACGAGAATAGGCTGTATGTATTGGATCACTTCTGGGGCCGCGTTGAACTGATCAAGAATATTGAAGCACTTCTGGTTGGGGGCCGCGGCGCTGCGACTGATTTAATTGATCTGGAAGCAGCAGCGGGAGCGAACGACTGTTATGCCAGTGGGACTCCGTCTCTGCTCTGTGCACACAGCGCGAATGCTCGCCCATGGAGGGGGGGAGGGATGCGTGGAATGGCATGGTCCGGGCTCGCACGTGTTCTGGGGTGATTCGAAAACATACGCGGTTCAGACACGTGATGGGGGGTGGGCCGGTGTTCATCACAGCACTGGCGGGTCGCAGTCCATGTGTCGGCCGTGGTCGACCAGGATCAGGCCTGCGGCACTGCAATCTAATCTGATAGCACAATCAGGGGAGAAGTCGCTGCACGCTGTCACCCTCAGACTGAGGCTGGCTACCTCCAGCTGCGCTGTCCGCCCATCTGTCCGAGTCTGATCTCCTGGCAGATCCGCACAAAGCCTGGTAGACTCGTCCATCAACCACTTCATCGCGGCTGCCGTGGCGCCGGTCGAACAGCCTATGTAAGCCGAGCAAGCGCGCTAGACTGACAATGCACACGCACACTCGTACTGATCAAAACTCCCCCCAACAACCTCCTGAGCGACGCGGCTCCTGAGCAGCAGCAGGCATCGCGATGCACATGCCCTTGATGCCCGACGGACGTAAAACTCCCCGCCGGCTCCGCAGCGTCGACCCAGACAGGGGGGGCGATGCGGATTCGCCGCAGGCGTCGTGAGTCGTCCCTGAGACCCATCCGGCTGTCGGACTAGCTCAGGACGCGGATTAACCACTGCGGCGAGCGAGTCGGACCCGGGGGCGCCGTGCTGCTGATATGCTTCACATGATGGCGCTAGCGAAGACAACGACAGACGCCAGGAGCAGTAGGACATGCATAGCATGTGGGCTAGCTCGGTTGGGACAGTGTCGTTGCCGTTTCGTTGCCTTCTGTCGTGCTGCGCGGATCGTCGCCAGAGTGTGCGGCGTGTCTGCACGCAAGTAGGCACTCCGATGCCATGCCCAGTAACAAAGAGTACGGCTACGAGCGTGTCGGAGGAAGCTTGTTCTGGTGCTCGCTCCCCCGTATCGGACGCAGATGCGTGCCGTTGAGACTCTTCTCACCGCTCTCTGTGTGTGTGTGTTCCTCCAGCGCCGCGGGCTGCGTTCTAGCCCTACTTCACAGCAGCAGCAGTCACCGGTGTGGCGCCAAGTTATTAGGGACGGGGTTTACAGCAACTATGTAGTACGCCCCCAGCCTTCACTCAACTTCACTCACGCTTGGCACCCGCTGACAACTGCGAAGCTGCTACTTGGAAACAGAGAACGATTCAGAACGCGAACGTCCGCCCCATCCGGGAAATCTGTTCGGCACGGCTCCGTCTTGGGAATCGGACCCGCCTGCACTCACGCGCATATAATAATATATTGGGCACTTGGGTATCCACGGGCCCGCATACATCATTTTGCCTCGGGGAGCCATAGTCATGTTCTTCTTACTTATTACTTGGCGCCCGTCTCAGACCCCAACACGCATCTCCCCAATTCCCTCTGCCAAGCCGACCGCTTCTGACTCCAACCCACCGCGCATGTCATTTGTCTCGGATGTGGCGGTGTCGGATGGATCGATTCGAACATCTAGAATATCATTCATTGATCGTGGCAGCGTGACTCGGCGAGGTCGAACCTGCGCGAGTCGAGTTTGCGCAACATTCACCGCCGACACGCCAACCCGCGGACCGCGGACCGCGAGCCCACAGCTCGCTGTCAGCGGAGAGCACGGTGCGATCGGCCCAGACAATGGGAATGGAGGAAGCAGCGAGAGGCCGGCCACGAGGCGAGCAACGTGTGCGGCGGACAGCAAAGGGCCCTTTGGAGACTCTAACAACATTGCTGTGATGCTGCGGTTTCTTTCTCTCGCGTTGTCGCGGACAGGCGTGTGCATTTGGGCACAGCATAATGGGGCTTATCGACGCGGCGCAGCGCAGTTGAGGCGTGTTGCCGGTGGGTGCTGTGTAAGGGATGCATCAGTCCTCCGCGAAGTTCGTACAGAAGAAGCTCGGTTTGTGGTTCATCTCTTTGTTGTGTCGGATTAGCGCCGGCAAGGAGCGAGCGAGGGCGTGCATGCAGTGAGGTGCGACACAACAGCATCGGTGCTGTCCAACTAATCAGTCGTAGAAGGAAGCTCAACAACAGCTCTCTCACAGCAAAATCTTACAAACATATACACGGTTACATTTCACACAGAGATCGGTGGTACATTTTCTACAGCAGCAAACTGCGTTAGGTCACATCTGGCCCACCAGCGGGCGTTTTGTTCTTGGTGCCGCTGCCCTTGGGCCGGCCCCGGGGGCGTTTCACAGGAGCTTCGCCCGTCGTCGGAGCAGCCGATGCAGTGGCTTCCCCCAGCATCAGAAAGAGACAGACAAAGACATCACACGCACCGCGTTTCCGCTTCGCCACCGCACCGTTCCCGCTCTGTTGGTGGCCCATCGCCGGCCCGTAACTGCACAGAAAAGTCGGTCATTCAGTCAGCCAGCAAGCCAGCCACGGGGCGGGGTCGAGAGAAAACGCCAGACGCACGCATCGCCCAGCGCGCCGACGCCCATCCCGCGCTCGCGCAGCGTCTCCGCGAGCCCCGGGAGCGGCGACTGCCCGAGCTCGACGCGCAGCCGGTCGACGTCCGCCTTCGTGCGCACGTACTCGCTCTCCGCGGTCGTCAGCGCGCCGAGCTTCGTGCGCAGCGCGGCGGTCTCGCGCGTCAGCGAGGAGAGCAGCATGTCCGCTTGGTTGCGGTCGTCCGTGATCTGTCGGGGGGCGATGATAAGGGTGGTGTGGTGAGCGGGGAGAGAGCGCCGTGCAGACCTTGCTGAGCGATTCGATGAGCCGCAGGCGTTCGCTCTCGAGTCTACGGGGTGTTAGATATCGGGAAACTGTAATATCGGACGCGAAAGAACGCACCGGTTCTTCTGCTCCGTGATCTCCTCCATCGTCTTCGTCTTCTGCTCGTACGACGCGTGCGCAGAGAGGATGTGCGCCGTGTGCAGCTGCAGCGTCAACGCGTGTTTCCTGGCACCGACCCCGGACAATCAGCCCCTCCGATCCGATCCACCGCCGATGGCAACAGAGAGAGAGAGAGAGAGCACAAACGCACTTGAGCTCGGCGGTCTTCGCCTGCTGCACGAGGTCCCGGCTCCAGTTCCCCGTCGCGACGACCGGCTGCTTCGACGTCGCCGTCGCCGTCGCCGTGGGCACGAGCACGCCCATCCCCGCGGCGCCCCCGTACGCGGGCTGGTGCGCGAGGTGCTGCAGCGTGTCGTGCGGCGAGACGGTCTGCGGGTGCGCGTGTGGGTACGCCGGGGCATGCTGTTGCTGTTGTTGTTGCTGCTGCTGCTGCTGCGGGTGCGGGTTGTAGTGCACATACTGCGTCGCGCGGTGCACGATCGTCTGCGCCTGCGCTGGCTGCGGCTGGGGCTGCGATGCCGGCGCGGACGGGGACGTGGAGGCCGACGCGGACGGGGGCGATGAGGCCAGATGTGGCTGCTGTTGCGATTGCGGTTGGGTTGTTGGACCAGCGCCACCCCCCGGGTTGGACATCTTTCGGGGCAAGTCGTTTTTGCGCCGATACGACACGAAGGGTGCGTGGGGGTGGTTGGGGGACGGGTGTCGGGAGGATCGGATCACTCGATGCACGTGAGGGCACTGCCACGTTTTGCGATCGAATACCCGTGACTGCGGTTACTCGAGTTCTCAACTGGCCGAATCGTTGTCGAAAGGCTGTGAAAGGTAAGGAAGAAATATACCCTGAATTAATTCTCGCCCTTCCCCTGACTCCACAACCCAGTGGAATGTCATAGAATTTCGAGATGCCCTTCGTTGACGGGCCTGTTTCTGCTACTGTCTGGAGGTCCTCGGGACTCCTGTTTCTATTCAATAGGAATAGATGAAACAGGACCATGATTCTGCTGAAAATAAGATATTGGGTCTGTTCTCAGTATGGCGCCATAATCAATCGAAGTGAAAAACGCCCACCCCGTTCTTGTTCTATTGTTACAGTACACCAACATCAAGGAAATAAGCGCGAATGAAAGCCCCTAATCCTCTGAGCTTTAGCTTCCCGTTGCAAGCCGACGCTGTCCTCGATGAGCCAAAACAACGATCAGAAATCGTTCCAAAGCTGTTCCACTCCGAGCCTGCCCGGTTCTCTCGTCGGCTCTGGACTAGACTCGGAGTAAATTTTACTAGGAAGCCCGCAGATCAGACAGCGCACCGCTTCCTCATGCAATGCTCTTGAGAAGAACGCCATTTTATGCCCTGCAGACGCCGAAATGAAGTATTTTTAGCTTTTTGGGTCCCCACCTACTGTGAAAATCATGACATCAATCGAGCGACAAGTTTCTTACGCAGCCGTGCATTGCGTCATCGATGATTCCCCGCTCCCCTCCTCCTCCGCGTCGTCGCGTCGCCGTCGTCTCCAGCTCTCGGATCATCGATGTAGATCTAGAATGAAATGCGTGGTGTGTGCGCCAACGATCTCCGCATCGACAGGGGTCGAGGCCCCAGACCCGACTCACCGCGACTGAGCCGGGTCGCTTTGTTTTGCTTTGGGTCACGAACGAACGAACGTGGTTGATGTCACTCGATGAGATGCGCGTCCTGTCAGCCGGCTGATATGTACACTTCTCCCAGTTTATCGAGTCGGCCGAATCGATGCTCTGGGTAGAAGGCAGGTAGGAAGCCACACAACCGTTATCTTCCATCTCCTGCGGCTGGTTCCACGCAAATATCCCACCAGAGCTTATCGTCGAAGCTCGTGCCGAACGGTTCGTCTCCGTCGGCACTACCGGATTCGTGCCCCCGCCCGCACAGCCCCGTCAAGACGATTATCATCCGTTGTTCTTCAGGGCGTTCAGAGCGGGATCTCCAGGAACCGGAGGCGAATACCCGGAGTCGTTCCTGACACAGCGCGCTGGCTGCGCAGACAAGGCTGTCGAACAATCGTCGCGATGCTTGACAGCATCTGGTCCCACCGTACCGTCGTGCATAGCATGCATCAATCACCCGGCGTTCCAACATGTGCGGCAGTTGCCGGCGTCGACTCGCCACGCCCAACAGCTCGGGAGCTCGAAGCGCCGATGGCGGCGCGAATTTTCTGGGACCTGTGGTGGTGGTAGGGCCCAGATTCGTATACGAGCCGGACGCGTGGGACGTCTCTATGGCGCGTGAATCGTCGATCTCGCGGCGGCAGGATCCATGCTCCGAGTTGGTGATCTGCGGGCACTCCATCTCATCGCGGAGAAGGGAAGCACATAGGCTCTGGGCAAGACCCCTCTATCCGAGTGTTATCTTGCTGCTTGCTGCGCGCATGATTGCAGAATTCGAGCATCCAAAAGCCTATCTTAACCGAGTTCCGACAAGCCTCAGGTTGTGCGCGTGAAGCATCGATAGCCCTCTCGGATCGCCGCCGATGAGCCGAGTGGCAGGCGGTCTACCTACACTAAATGAACGATGCGTGGTTCAAAACATCATCATCATCAGGGGTGACGACAGCTACACAGACAGCCGGTATTTCTTGCATGTCGACGGGATGACCCACTGACCGGTTCGGTTCCATCTACGCAATCAATCTCACGCCCAGCGGAATATCGGGTCGGTGGGCGGGTGACGGCCGCTCTACGCAATCAGACGACAAGTTGAGACATTCACCTGCTTTGCCGATGTTCGGTATTCCCGGCCCTGGCCGTCCGTCTAGCGCCAGGCGCGTTGTTATGCGGCACCGCCCACAACCATTCAGGAATCTTCCCGTCCCGTCGGTGGGAAGAGCGGCCGATGCAGATTTGAGTGAGGAGATCAGCGCGTGAGCGAGATTCTAATATTTTTTGGGGTTTCAACGGGCTCGGACGAGATGCCAGATGCGGAACGCGCAACCCTTCGCCGACAATCCCGCCTTGGTCCGGTTTTAGCGCTCCCTTCGATACAGCGCTTATTCCCCAGGCGAATTCAAGGGATTTTTTGTTCTTAATTGTGGCATTTAACGCAGGGGTGTATGTTCAGGCCTTCCACCTGTTTGAGCGCATCGACTGATATCACTGGAGTCGGGTGAGATGATGATATAGTAGTGTATACGGTGCCTGTGGTGGGGCCCTGCCGGGTAACCCACCGGCTGCGCGTCGCCGCCCATTGTCAGTTGCCTCGCTACGACCCAAAACGCGTGAAACTCTGTTATGTAAACCATTTGCGTGGCGCGGCTGCATCGCAGTCAGTGCATGTCCATGACATAACTCCTTCAGCAGCGAACGTCGCGCCCAGCGCCTACGAGCACGCGGCAATGCCCTTGAGTTGCCGCCGGTGGATCTGGCATGTGTCGCTTGCCGAGCCAGGTGATTTACGTTGCGTGCCGTATGCACCTACGGCTTGTCCCGCCGAGCTCGCTATGCAGCCTTGGCTCCGGATCATGTGTTACCCACGCCTGTCATTCTTGACAGTCTCCGCCACCTTCTTTTTCTGGGCTGGGAAAGTGGGCGGCCAAGCGAGATGACTCGGCCAGAGCCAAGTCATGGGGAGTCTTTGCGCGTTCCCACACTGCAGAGTGCGTACGTACGTGCGTCTCCGGTGTGAATCTGAGTATGACTCGAATGTGCTTAGGCCGGGATGCGCTTGAGTGCCGTGACCATTCAGTTGCGTATCAGGTTGCGTGTATGCGGTAAGTGCGTGTCCGCTGAGCTCGGAAGTCAACGCGCACGAAAATTTGGACCTTGTAATGTAAAACACCGAGGTGGCCAGTCTCATCCGGCTGTCTGCCAGCTGCAATACGTGTCTGCGTCCGCTGCAGAGTGCTGAAACCGGCAATCAAGCGTACTTTCTTTCCGCGAAGTTCCCTCGAGATTCGTGTTGTGCCAAGGAAGAGTGGGAAGTTCGTCGGGTGGCGCAGCACGTGGATTCGCACAAGCTTTCGCGTGGAGATTCAGACCGACCACTAGTCGGAGTTTGTGCGGTACGATCCGCAGTGCTGAGCTCGTAGTCTCGCTCAGATCGATGGTCGTCCTAGTAAGCTGAACCCAGATACTCCCTGGATCCCAGATTTTGGAGTGGTTGACGGCCGCAAGATGCCGAATCGATTATCGATTATCTATCGGATGACTTGCCCATCGGGAAGCCGAGCCACCGAGCGAACCGGCTACAGACCGGAAATAGAGTAGACAGGGCCGATCAGTCCGAGTCGGCCTGCCTCAAGCCAGATCGATTCAGGTCCCCTTCCCGATGCTGTGCTTCAATTTGCTTTGCTCCGTGTCGCTACCACACAGCATATATATACCCTCCATTTTGTGAGGATGCTGCTGCTGTCTCACCCCCAATCGCCCCCCATCCCCACCGCGGATAAGCTAACCTCGCGATGCACGGATACGACTACTCTTCCTGGTCTCCGGCATCCGCCTCTTCCTCATCGTCGTCGGGATCGCGATCGGGATCCGGCTCACCCGTGCATGCCGCATCGCTCGTGGATCCGTCAGCCCACTCTCCCGCTATGATGCAGCTGGTCGATGTGCCGCTCTCGAGGCCTGTTATCGGTACGTCGCCCTCCCATCCATTCCCGCCACCGCTGACGCTGAAGCCCTTCTCTCCGCAGACTACGTCGTCGACTGCGTCGCCGCTACCGTCGACTACGCCCTCTCCCGCACCCCCTGCCCTCCTCCCCCAGGCGGACCCCCGGGCATCCGCGGCCGGCGTCGCTCGCCGCACCTCGCCAAGTTCGCGGCCTTCGCGACGGACGTGCTGACGCGCGCGGAGGTGCACCCGGGCACAGTCCTCGTGGCGCTCGTGTACATCCGGCGCGCGCAACCGCACCTGCGCATCGCGCTGCGCGAGTGGGCGCTCGAGCGCGTGTTCCTCGGCGCGCTCGTCGTCGCGAGCAAGTACGCGAACGACTCGACGCTCAAGAACGTGCACTGGGCGCTGTGCACGGGCGTGTTTGGCAAGCGTGATGTCGGGCGTGTGGAGCGCGAGTTTCTGGCGGTGCTGGATTGGGAGCTGGGCGTGCGTGAGGAGGATGTTGTCAGCCACTGGGAGGGCCTGATGAGGGCTGCGTATGGGGACGAGGCGGTCGACTGTGGGGCAGGATACTCATCTGTCCCTGTGCATGTTCCGCATGCTGTCCAAGCGGTCTCCATCCCCATCACCTCCCCACCCGTCGCTGGCGCCGCCCGCGTGCGCAACCACCACCGGTCGCACTCCCGCTCGCGCCACCCCTCCCTCGTCGTCGTTCCGATCCCTGAGCTCGAGCCCTCCAGTCCGGCCAGCAGTCTCGGCAGCCTATCTCCGCCGCACACGCCAGACGTCCCGGTCGACGTGGACACCCATCACCATCACCACAGCGGGAAGCTGAACGACCTCCTGCGTGTCTTCCCCCTGCCGCGGCACCCTTCATTCCGCGTCGCCTGAGCTACGGGCGTCTCGAAACCATCCACCCACACACCCGCCTGTCACGATCCGCGTTTCCTCCGAGGAAGAAGCGCCCTTCGTTTGTCTCTTTTTTTGTGCGCCGCCATGGTGACGACCCCGCGCGGCATGATCCACAGTGCTTGCCCCACCCACCCACGTACATATACGCATGCTCCACGTACATATACATTCACACACGCATATATGCTCGCTGTCTCGCGCTTTGGCCTCGACGGCTCGCGCGCCCCTGGGCTTCCCGGTCGAATTCGAATCGGCACAGCCACTCCTACTATTATATCGCATTCCTTATTGTCTTTCTTGTTCCCGCCCCCTGTCCGCTCGCAACCTCAGTTCCTGGAATATATATGTCTAGCATAGCAGTTTGCGTCGAATCGAACCTGCGTTCGATTGCTGCGGCAGAGAACTTGCATTTGATTTCACGTCGTGCGGTTGCGGGGTGCGCAGACTTTCAGGCTTTCGCGGCGTTGTTGCCGGACCGATACCGGGGCATGTATAACACGGGACGGGAGGAGAGAGAGCACGCGACGACGCCGGGGCTCGATCGCGGATTCTCTGCTTCGACTTGTTTCGGCGAGCTCAGGCAGTGGAAGGGAAGGCCGAGCTTGATGAACAGCCTGAAAGTGCTCCCGCCACCCGTGAGCCGCCGACTGCGGTGGTTCCTGTCTTTTTCCGGGTGGACGGGTAAAGAGATGCTGAAACAGTCATCATCGACCCATTGCCTGCTTGCGAAAATATCCACCAATTGGGATCCCCATCCTCCTCCCCCAACGGAAAGAATGACACGACTTTATTTTGGCGCGCGCAGCCAGCCAGATGGATCTTATCATATCAGATTACGAATTGATCGGATCGGATCTTCTTTTTTGAAGCCGCAGGTGGTTTCGCCACGTCGCCCAGCCTTGAAGGACCCGGCTCGGGATCGATCGCTCCTGCGTGGGAGGTGGGGCAACACGTCTCACGCGCTCTTCTGCATGCTGACCCGGCATGAACATCGGAGAGTCAGCATGCGGAGCCACAATTCCGATGTGCGCAAGCGCGAATTGGACTGCGGCATCTGGCTCTTCCTGCACAGGCTGAAGTGGTGGCTCCTCGTCATGCGCGATCGTCCGATATCTCCGCGCACCGCGGCGTTTGCCCCTGGCCCCCCACCGGCGCTGTTCTCTCCGCTCCTCTGTGTCGGCCGCAGCGGAGTGCCTTGATCCGGCGGGAGCAGCGCTGTCGCGGGACGTTCCCGTGGATCTTTAATTCGGCCGGCGAGGTGATGCCATCAGCTGAGGGGCATGCAAGCAGACAGGCTTAGACTTAGGTTTAGGAGAGCCCGATTGAAGCTGTGATAGTTCGAATGGGCTGTGCGATGCGGTACCACTCAACTCTGTTTGCGGCCGAATTGTATCTAGAGACAGAAGGTAGATAGATTATAATATCCCCCACAGCTTCGAGTTCTTACAGAGAGACAAATTTACCTATTTCGCACCAGGTTCAAGCTCCTAGCTGGGAAAACTCCATATTCGATCATTTTAGCCTTCCTTTGACTCGATTCATGTATCGTTGCTAGGACGTGTTCCGATCTCGAGACGCAGATAGGCATATGGAAGTTTGAACGCGCCATTCATATCCCCTCATTTGCAGTCACGAGTGTTTAAACAACATCGCTGTCCACAAAGTCCGCTAAAGCCTACGCGCATTTGGATAGTCGAAGCAGGGGCTGGTGACTGGCATCCTTGCGTTGTTACTCACGCTCATTTGCCTTCGCGGGTAGATCAGAGACCGACGAGCTTGTCAATGCAAGCTCAGGAGTCAGGCCCGAGTACTGCTGCACGACGACCGGTGAGCTTGAGCGTCACCCATGGCCCGCCAACCGATCTGACCACAGACACATAGGCCAGTGCAACTTAACTCCCCGACTTCTGGTGACGAAGCCTCATCACAGACTGGAGGAATGATTCCCAAAGGGACCAGCGGGAAGATCCGAGATTTGACTACACATTATTTACTTTTAGAGCAATGATTCCCTTCCCTTCCCTTTCATGCCAGTCCCCAAGTAGCTTCGGGCCAGATTCGACGCCAACCTTCCAAGAGCAGAGTAGTAAGCACAACATGGCGAAATGTATAAAACGGCAGGTGCTCCCAGTCACGAGGCGCGAACCAAGGACTTCGGTGGGGATCTTACCCCGGTCCCGCCGGCCCGCGCGTCTAAAACCGCAAGAAACGAGCCGCCGAGGCCTGGGCCGAGGCGGCGAAAGGATTGTGATCTGTGTCTGCGGGGCCTTGGCTTGAGTCATCCGAGTTCGTCGCTGCGGGGCCACGAACCCTGGGACGATCGATCAACGGACTGATCTGGTGGGAGGCCTGGACGCGTGTGAAGTTTCGCGCGCTGGCGTGTGTGTCGTGTCGATGAGCAGATCCCTCAGCATTCGAAATGAGATGGGCAAACGGAGCTGTCTCGGGCGGTGTGCTGAAAGCAGCATGAGATGAGTGAGCTCAGTCAGCTGGATGCGGAATTGGGATGTGTATCCATCCACCTCCGCCTCGATTTCTCCGCGATCTTCGTCGTGTTTCTCGCCACCGATCGATCGTTCGCGCGATGTCGGGGTCAGGCGGGCCGTGCGCTCAAGATTCTGCCGTTCATTGAGCCCACGCTGCTTACGTCTCCGAGATGACTCCGGGCCGAGTCGGATTGACTGTCACCCCCAGAGTGTCAGCATCCGGGGTATCAGTGGCGGTACACGTGCCCCTGTCTGAGGATTGCTTAGGCCTCCAGTCAGGGGAACTAGGCCAAGAGGAAGAATGCCACTGACGTTGCCAGGGAGGATGGGCCAAGGTCATCCAGGGTCCAGTGTAGTGCTGGGCTTTAAATTATTTGGGCCGTGCTTTTTATATTTAAAACAAAACGAATCTGGGATAGGGCCTTGTTATAAACTTTGGGCTGCTATAAATCATTTATAGCACAATAAAAAGCAAGGCGTAAAACACCGGTATTCTGATGTGTTGGGGGCTTTTCTACGTTCTACTCTAGTCTGTTGTGGCTTGTCAGTCGTCATCAACGTCCCAATCCGAGTCCAAGTCTTCAACTACAGTCACAGGGACCTTCTTGCGCTGACCCGAAGCCTGTACTTTAAGAAAGCACCTGGCATGATAAGAGCAGCCAAGGCAGAGCTGTCGAGCCGAACAAAATCCTCCAGAGCGAGAAGAGATCGGTGAAAAAAGATTGCTCTCGAGTCTCGCAGCAACGTTACAAGAGATCTCATCATGATCTGCTGATTTCGGAGATCTCTCTCCGCGTTGAGATGTCTAACTGACCATTTGGGAGTTTATAGCAATTTATAGCATGTGCTTTGGACCCATGCCTTGCTATAAATGATTAAAACATGATTTTAATGTGCTATAAAACATTTGTTTTTAACTCATTTGTTTATAGCCCAGCACTAGTCCAGTGTGCTTATGTCCACTCTTTAAGCACACACAAGCCTTGGCGCTTCTATCGACCAAGCATTCCAGCATCTTTATAATAAAACCGAGCGCGCTGACGAAGCGTGATGGGGGAGCTGATGCGCCATCACTTCCTCCGACTCATCCCATATGGCAGCTGCACGCTTATTGTCGGACCACACGTGTCTGAGAGGATGAAAACTTCAGGTCGTCATGGCTCGCCAGCGTTGCTCTCAACGTGCGGGTTAAAGCGAATCCAGCCCGGAGCCCGCATTTCGCCGTGCACACTTGGCAATTTCACGGATATGCTGTGTGTGGCACAGACTCCACTGAAACACGCTCGCCGGAATTGACTGACAGATTGCACATTCTAGATCTTCAGGCAGCAACCGCGGTCTGTGCTCTGCCTACGCATCCGCAGGCTCGACAGCTTTGCGCAGCTGGCTGGCCCATCATCGTGGGAATTTGCGCCAGCCCAAGCCTAAAACGGGTCGCATGCTGTGCCCAGGCTGCGCACAGTCATCACTTATGTATGGAGGCCGGGAATTATATGCTGATAAGCGGAGGACATATCACTGATACGCGAAAGTTTGCCGACATGGCATCAATGTCATGATGCGCTCTATGTCATGATGCGCTCTGTCTGGACCCCGAACGCTGAAGTGTATTACTAGCATTGACACGCCTACGGAGCGTATGAGCGCGCAGCTGTACGGGGAGAGACAGGGGGCTAGTCGGAGGTCGTGGGGAGGGAGCTGCGGCTCGAGCTCGCGCAGTATATTTGTGGGATTCTGATCCTAACAAGGTCAGGCTCGGGGAAATGGGCTTAACTGAAATGGGCGGGGGCAGCAGCGAGCAACAGGGGGAGTAAAGGGACAATAGAACAGGCGATGGGACGATAATGACGACGGAGGACAGGACGAGAGGACGATAGAACGACGGGGAGATCAATATGTATGTCTGTAGCACGAAATGGGGGTTTGGGGGCGATGTTGGGAAAATAATGCAGAAGCAGGCGCCGAGAAAGCGAGATAGAAAGTACTGGGAAGTCACTTTAGACTCTAGAGAGTGGGTGAAGAAGATTTCTTGTTTTTCTTGTACTGTACTACAGGTCTTTTATACTACTGTACCGTGCCAATCAAATCGTCAGGGGGTGTGATGCGTGACACAAAAGGTCAATTCGTCAATTCGTCAGGTCCCCCCATGACATGTGACATGTTGATTTTTTCGTCAGGTCATGCATTCACCTCCCTATGAGTTGCTTGCAACTTGATCTGAAGCTATCTGTGTGATAGCCCCAGACAGACTCAAAACAACACAGGGAAGGGTACACAAGTATTTTTAACACTTCAGCTGAACCCCACAAGCCTTATTTATTTCCGAACGGAAAAATGAATTCGTCACCTGAGCATGTGATGCGTGACATCAAAACAAATTTCGACTTCGTCAGGCAGCCTGTGACGCGTGACTGACGATTTGATTGGCACGGTACAGTAAGTGTGAATCAAATCCAAAGGAGATAAGTAACTTGAACCTCCTGTTGATATGGTGACCATTGAGCTCTATGTTAATTTATTTCTTTAGTCAGTGCTGAATTTTGCCGAAATGAATGAGTCCTGTGAGCACAACAAGGAGACGAACTCCGAAATAGGACCCCGCCGGAGGCATCCAGTGATGATCAGAATGATCACGTGCAACAACCTTGATGAGCTCGCTGACAAATCCATTGAGATCTTTTCGTGCACGTGATCGATTGATTTCAGGGCTAGGGCGCATCACTGCTCGTCAGCATGTATGTACTACCAATGATCATTGAAATCCTGAGAGTCCTCTTTGTCCGAGAACCATGCGTACAATGCATGAGCGTCATCCGGTAACTGGGAGTTGGGCATGGGATACACTTCGGGCTCGATATCGTTGATCATTGCGTTCAGACGTGCGTGATGTTCAGGACCTCCGAAAGGAGACGAGTCAGTGAACAGTAAGGTTCCCAAGTAATGGAACATACCGAGACCATCCCCATTGTTGACTCCACCCATATAATAAGCACCCTCTCCGACGACCCCCTCACCGCCCTGCAGTTCCTGCAAGTTTGGGAGAAGGGGAATGTTTTTATCGACCGGCTGGGTCAGCACATGCCCCCACCTTGCATCGGCACTCTGATCGATATTGTTTGTAAGGGCAACTCCTGCCAGCCCGAAGGAAGAGAGCACACAGCACACAACAACCTCACATGAGTCTGAGCACAGAGGGGGATCCTTAGAGACTATCAAATACAAGGGAGGTATACTACTCACCTGAGCACAGAGGGGGATCCTTAGAGAACGGTTCAAGGATCCATGTGCCCAGGTGTCACACTATATAGTCAGCTGTGACAAGTGACTGATGATGATGGGATATCACTGCCATGGAACAATGGCAGATGACAAGTAGATAATGACAAACCCAGATAAGATAGTGAGTGGCTCAGAGGGGCCAGTGATGGCCAGCTCCTGAGACACCAACAGTGGAAGGCCACACTGGAGGAGCCCAGCGGCCAGGCCAGTGCCCGGCCGGCCAGTGGAGACATTGGAGGCGAGGACCAATGCCCAACTGGGAAGAGGGGTGGTGCAGATGAGCGCAAGGGCATCTGGTACGAGCCTGTACGGCAGTAGACCACATCCGCGGGGAGAAGGCCGAAGTGAAGGGGGAGGAGTGCATACGGCAGTAGCACTCCCTGGTGCAAGGAATCGGGCTTGGCTAGACCGCTTGCGGGGATTCGAGGGAGATGGCCGGGGGAAGAAGGGAAAGGGCGGATGTTGGCATGGATGGAGATGAGGATCGGAGGAGGAGGAGGAGGCTGGGTGATCGACAGGTGAGCAGGCACGGGTCGGCAGAGAGGGTGCAGTGGGTCACGTGCATGGTCACGTGCCCAAGGAGCGCGGCGTCCCCTGACATTGTTGAGCTGATCCAACTCCTTGAGGCGATTCAGGAGCTGGAGATATACATCCCAACATGAGTCCCGGTCCACAATAGGGCTATTAAGCTTTGCATAGATATCCAAGATCGCGATCTCGAAGTCAGGGGGAACAAGGAGAAAGACGTCATGATCAGGTGGTGCGTACATCTGTCGGACTTTTTCAATACCGATAGGATCGACCTTGATCTGTAAGGGACTAGTAGTTAGTGGCTTGTACTTGATGAAATCGGACTCGTACCTTGAAATCGAGGATGGCGTAATCCTCTGGGAACTCAAACATGCTAGTCGGAACACTGTGAGGAAGGATCTTGTTACGATCACAGCGCTTTGCGGTATTGTTCACGCGATGCCGATACAGCTCAAGCTCGCCCTGAAGCCACGGGATGAATACCCAACGGAAGACTAAGCTTCCAGCCTTCGGAGAAGCCTCTGGGGATCGGTTCGTTCAAATCTGCTCATTCTGCGTTTCTGACGCTGTCCACTTTGCCAACCACACCCCTCGGAGCGCTTCCAAATCAAGCCGTTGCCGCGAAACGCATGTTCAAGAACAACGAGAATAGCGTCTTGATCCACTTCAACCCCATCGATGAATATGCGCACCATGTATCGGAGGCACATCTCCTATTCTGGGGCACTACCCTTCTCAGTTTCGTTTATTCTTTCGTGCGTAACTACATATCAAAGCATGTCGCGCCACCAGGCGACCTCCCTATCTTTGAAGTCCGCTTTGTCGAGGCCGGCGTTGCTCTGGTTCACAATGCGGTGGCAGATGGCAAGTCGAGCAAAATGATGACATCACTCCGACGATCATATCTCATTGAAGAATTAATTGGAACGGATTTGTTCTCTGCAACGACTCGAGTATATTGCTCACTGAATTTCAGGCAATTTTGTGAAGTACATCAATAACAATAGTGCAGTGCCCGTTCCGTCGCTTCCAGAAGATCTCAAGCTGTTGGCATCGTTCCTCTGTTTTACACAACATGTCCAATACGAACACACCGGGCGTTTGGTCTTTCTTTCTGATCTTCAAGGCCGGTTCATTCGATCTGGCTCACTGTTTCATACTAACTCTATCCAAGGCTCCGGAAATCTCTTGACGGATCCGCAGGTTATGACTTCACCGTGCGCAGTCCACTGCTGTGTCAATCTGCGTGCTCTTGATATCTGACTGGATCATCAGGACTCTCGAACGTGGTCTGTTTGGTGGTGGCAATTCAGGCAGGTTCTTCGAGAAGTTTCCTGAGCAGCATGTATGCTCCGGTTACTGCAAGTTTTTTGGACTGTCTAGTCTCATGTAAGTAGTTACGCTCTATCGCTACTCTACAGTGCATGTACTTGGCCTTTTTCATACATGTTAACGAGCGTTCGGGGTCCAGACAGAGCGCATCATGACATAGAGCGCATCATGACATTGATGCCATGTCGGCAAACTTTCGCGTATCAGTGATATGTCCTCCGCTTATCAGCATATAATTCCCGGCCTCCATACTTATGACCGTTTTTCCGCAGCGGCAGGCAAGCACTTCCCTCGGCTCTTTCTTCTACCCTTCGTCAGCATCCCGGTAAGCCACGTCGAGATGGCGGGGGTATATAACCGGTTGAATCGCAGCAAGAACCGGAACCACCGTCCGTCCAGCCCCCCAATACTGTCTATCACCATGTCCTCGACTGTCGATTACTCTACTTGGTCGCCTGCCTCTTCCACTAGCTCGGGCTCGCCCGTCCATCCTGCCTCGCTGGTGGATCCTACCACACACTCCTCGGCAATCCTCCAGCTAGTTGATATGGAGTTCACACAGTCTGTCATAGGTACGGACTTGCATGTCTTCATCCTGTGTATAACGAGCTGAGTCTTCCACCTCAGACTACATTGTCGAGTGCATCGTCGAAACGGTGACCTACGCGCTCACCCGGGATTCGGACCCCCATTCGGCTATCACTCTGGGCCCTAGCCCCACCCTCGTCGGCAAATTCACCCTCTTCGTCAAGCTCATGTTGTCCCGCGCCGAAGTGAGCCCTGCGACTGTCTTCGTGGCACTCGCATATGTTGCGCGCGCACGGCCCCACCTCGCCATCGCCTCGCCCGAGTGGGCGCTCGAGCGCGTCTTCCTCGGCGCGCTGGTCGTCGCGAGCAAGTACACGCAGGACAGCACGCTGCGCAACGCGCACTGGGCGCTGTGTAGCGGCGTCTTCGGCAAGCGCGACGTCGGGCGCGTTGAGCGCGAGTTTCTCGAGGTGCTGAACTGGGATCTTGGCGTGCGCGAGGAGGAGATTCTGATGCACTGGGGAGGCGTTATGGGGCTCCCCGACGAAGATATGCCTCCGGTCGCAACTCCTGCTGCTGCTGCTACCAGGATCGAGATCACACCCGCTCCGGAATCGGAGTACCACGGCACCGGCGTGCCGACCCTCGAGCCGTCGAGCCCCTCCAGCACCTACTCGTCGTCGCCTCGAACACCGTCGACGACCGACATGGATGTCGACCAGCCTGCACCGCACGCTAAGAAGTACGAGCACGAGCACGGGCATCATCGGCACCACTCACGCCGCCTCAGCGGGCTGCTTCGGGTTCTGCACGTCCCACACATCCATCTGCCGCACCACCATCACCGGGCCTCGATCCCCATCGCTGCCGGTGCTTAATTGTCGAGCCAGCTGATTCCTGGCCCCAATCATCCCCGATCCGCCGCGAGGCCTTTCGGTATCTTGCGCTCCGTCCGAGCCCAGGCTAATTCCGTGCATCCATCCCATTCTCTGGATGGACAATCATGTGCGACGCAGCCTGTGATTTGGCCCTGCTAGTGATTATATGAATGTAGTATATGCACTGGACGATGGCCCGCACCCCGCAGTGCCCAGACAATCTCATGACTTCGCATATATCTATCTCTCACTTATCGTGCTGTACTGCGCTCTTCAGCCACGGACTCGATTGTATTGCACGCCTCACTCACTCCTTTGATGTTTCCCGCTCTTCGTATATATCGTATTCACATGCAGCATATTTATTACATCTACTTTGACCCTAAGATTCATGAATCAGTACCGCTTCGAACAGGAGCAACATCTGGAGTGCGGGTGAGCTATCGGCAGTGACAATCATGGAATCGTGACACCGTGACACTTGCTACCCTCACCCAAACACAAAATAAGCACTTGTTTGGAGCTCTTGTGGCCTATCGCCGTGTGGGGGTCTTACTCTGTATGGACCGTCGCTCACTGAATGTCCAAACCCGGGTCACCCTTATATGCTCACCCGGGTGGGTACGGGTGAAGCTCCGCCGTGTGAAACACCCGCGGGCCTAACCCGTTCGTCATCCGAGTTGACCCATGGTATGATCGTGATACCGTGCGAAGTTTATCTGGGCAAGCCGTTGAAGGTCTCCCGCCAAGATGCAAATGATCCATCCAATCTGATTCATGGTAAGGCTGGTATGGAACCAGAGCCCCCTCAAGACTGGGAACCCTCTAGAATCGCCCTTCTGCCTCACACTCCTTTCGATTCCCTTCCTTCTCCGGCAGTGCTGACTGATTTCGTGCAAGTATCTCCTTGATCTCACACTATGCTTGCCACTACACTCTCTTTAATCTCATGCGCGGTCACCGTCACCGCTTGGCCCTTCTCCCTTTTCGGACACACCTTCGGCGCACCCGAGAGCAAGGGCACCCCAATGCCACTCTCCCTGACTACTGTCAACTCAACGCTTCTCCGCCCCGCTCAATTTGCGCGTGCAGCCTACTGCTCCGGCGCCTCGCTCGAGAGCTGGAGCTGCGGTCTGCCGTGCGACCAGGTCAATGGTGTCAAGTTTCTGCAGGCTGGCGGAGGTGAGCGCACTGCTTGTTTGTTTAGCATCCGACTGACCTGCGTAGACCAGGGCTCTATTCCTTTCTGTGCGTTTCCTTCCAGTGTGAACGCAAACCACTGTTTGAGCGCATCACAGATTTTATCGCCCACGATCCAGAGCAGGATTCCATCGTCGTGGCCCACGAAGGGACTGATCCCAATAAGATGTACGTATATCTCCTAGTGGTGGATAATCGAGAGTGCCTGAGCAGGATCAGACTCTCTCTAGTGAATGACGTCGAATTTCTGCTGGACGACATCGACGAGTCGAGGTTTCCTCGCGCAGCTGGACAAGGCATCAAAGTACACACTGGCTTCCAATCGACTTTCGAACGGACGGCGGACGGCATTCTCTCCGGTGTGCAAACTGCGCTCCTGAGCACAGGCGCGAGCAACGTTCTGGTCACAGGGCACAGCCTCGGTCCGTGGCATTCACTCTCGTGGCGGTTTTTGTTTTGACCCACCTCTGCTCCAGGGGCAGCGCTGGCGATGTTGACGGGAAGCATGCCGCGCGAATCGCCCGACCCATCCGCAGGCGTGACGATCTCCACGTTTGGGATGCCACGCGCGAGGAACCAGGCGTGGCCAACTTCGTTGATTCCAACGTGAGCCCTGCCTTCGTTCCAGCCGACGTCGCCATTGACGAAGTTGCAATCCCGGGCGGCGTGACCTTCATGACCATTCAACATGACCCAGTCCCGAACGTCCCTCCGCTGCTGTTCGATTTTGCGCATCCGAGCGAAGAGATCCACGTCGTGGACTCGTCACAGCGCAGCATTGTCTGCTGTCCAGGTCAGGATAACGAGAATTGCATCAGCGGTAACTCGCTGTTCGACATTTCGATTGGGGATCATCTCGGTGTGTCCCACTTTCCGCATCTTAAAGAAATCAATTGTAGATCCTCCCCAGGTCCTTAAGTATTTCCCTGACATTCCTTCGGGTCTGGCGAATGCACCTGAGATTCTTCTCTTCAATGTGTGTATGAATGTTCCTTGCAGGCATTCCGACTACGATGTTCTTCCACTAAGTCTGCCAACGCTCAATATTTCTATTTGGAGCAGCGCACAGATGAGCCGTAGGACCCAGGATATCAGATCTGAAAGTTCGTAGGCTTCTTCCGCCCGCGTACACAGCTACATAAGAGGTATATTCAGAATGCTCTGCGTGTCCATAGATCGTAGCGGTCTGCGTGAAAGTCAGCGGTGGTCGATAGTTTACCGGGTGAAGTTTCGGATCCAATCCGCGGTGTCCCCAGCTCAGACCATGACTCTTTCAATTTGACCTCACGGTTCGCCAACCGTTTCCCGGAATTTCACGTAATCTCAATTTGTAAAGTTGGGTTCAGACTTGACCGAAATGCATGAGATGTGGGTTTAGATCCACGTTGTCGTTGCCTTTCACGACAATCCTGAAATCAGAAGGGCTCCTATCCTATTCGCTCGGGGCTGAGACGGTCTTTTTTCTGGCATTTTGCGTTCTGCACTCCCAGCGGAGGTCATCTCTCTTCGGCGATGCAAAAAGTTGCCATGACGGCAGGAGTATATCACCGTTCGCTTGAACGTCACAACTTTTTTGTGAATCTCGTACTTCCATTTATGATGTTGGGGATGCGGACATCGGTCTCTGTGTTGCCTCTGTCCTGACGGAATTTCCTTACTGTTCGGCCTTCTGTAGCTCCTACGCTTCTGAACATCTTGTGCTCGAGTTATGACTTTATGGTAACTCAAGCGAAGGGGCTTAGTCGATATGACTCTTATCTCTTCCAAAATGAATCCCCCCACTGACCCGTTGTGCTGCTCTGATTTTTTGTGTTTCGTGCCCTGATTGAGGACGGGACGATACGAGGACACTGAAAAACGTTCACTAGAGAGATTCCGCTGACAGATACCCACTACCTGCACGCTGACTCATAGGGAAGCATGGCGTGGCTTGTCACAACATGTGCAATCCTCGTCCATTGGATCCTCAGATTCACCGTAAAGCCGAACGACTCGCTTGGCGCTGTCCTAGATATGCAATCACGGCACATCATGGCAGCTTCCACGCGACCGGACTCGGCCAGCTGGTTTGTCGTAATCAAGTTCAAGTTTCTCACATGGGTTTTGTCTCTCGGATCGGCTTCCGGAGGCTGAGGTAAATCCCACGACGAAAGAAAGTTGGGCAAAAACTCATTCTTCTTGCCAAAATTGGAGGAGAAAGTGAGCGAGTTCGTGGCCACGGAGAAATCGCAACCAAAGTGGCTAGTTAAAATTCATCCGATCCATGACCCATCGTGCCAGACCCCATCATGCGTCATTGCGTAAGGAAGTGCTTGTACACAGAGCTGACCTGTGTGCTGCGCCGATTCGTGGTGGCAAGGAAACCTCAATATTGTCCCACGCCTTGGAGCAGGGTATTTAAGCAGAGCTCAGCATGTCGTGAGCTCCACCAACGCAGTCAGCAATCCGCTGCTCTGCCCGCTTTTACAATGATTCCACCGATGCTGTCGACTCTTCTCCTCTTCGCTCTCAGCGCCCGCGGCGCCCCCTCAGTCAGACTCGGGAAGACGACCGTGGTCGGAAAGACCCTGCCGACTTTTGGACAAGAGCTTTTCGCAGGTGCAGGGCACGCTCAGGCTTTTGTTTGCTGCGACTCAAACCGATGCCACCAGGTATCCCGTACGCTGAGCCGCCAATCGGAGAGCTTCGGTTCAAGCCTCCGGTCCTGACAACGTCCTTGAACGGCTCCTTGTTTGATGCCGCCCAGTTCGGACCGTCGTGTCTTCAACCGCTGGGTGGCGACAGCCCGCATGTAAGTACATACCAGACGGTGCGGAGATCGTGTTGATGATCCGCGTTCAGAGCGTTCCCGTCGGCAGCGCAATCTCGGAAGACTGCTTGACCATCAACGTCGTCCGTCCTATCGGTGTGAATTCAACTTCAAAACTCCCTGTGGTATGTTCCCTGGCTGGGCATGCACGGTGTTCCTCCACATTGAGCTAATGATGGTTCTGCAGATGTTCTGGACGTAAGCATTGCTCTGATCGAATCATCAAGCTGCTGCAAACAGGTCACCTGTCCACAGATACGGCGGGGGTTTCTTCGTGGGCTCCTCTGTGGTTTACAACGCCAGTGCGCTTGTTTCTCGTAGTGTGGAAAGGGTGATAGTATCCTATTCGGATCGTGGACCTTTTTTAACGCGTGTCGTAGGGAACTCCCATTATTCTCGTCAATTTCAACTATCGACTCGGGCCTCTCGGGTTCCCTCAAGGAACAGAAGCTCTGAATGAAGGCTCTCTGAACCTCGCGCTCAGAGACCAGTTGGCTGCTCTAGAATGGGTTCAGAAGAACATCGGCAACTTTGGTGGTGACAAGCACAAGGTCCTCGCGTTCGGAGAGAGCGCCGGAAGCATGATGACTTCGATGCAGTTCTTGAACCCTCGAATGGACAAACTCGTTCGGGCAGCGGTAACCAATCTTTTTACGTCAATGTTTGCCTCAAAGGGTACTCAAACGAGTCATAGATATTCGAATCTGGATCTCAGTCGTCAGGCGGAGGGATGTTCGAACCCGCTCGGCGAGACAATGTCTGGAGCCTCTTCGTAGGCGCCGTACCTTCCTGCGCCACTCTCGCAGGCACCGATTCGACGTTTTCTTGTCTCAGGAATGCGACCACAACGGAAATGCTCAACGCCTTCCTCTTCTCTATGTCGCATGCGAGTGAGAACTTCCCCTGGGACCCGGCAATCGATGGCCCGGGCGGTCTGATCCCCGAACTCCCTTCGAGACTTTTGCTGAAAGGGAAATTTGCCAAGATTCCTTTCATCGCTGGGACGAACTTGGATGAGGGTAAGTCACACAGAGAGTTACGCATCTGCCTGGCTTGCTCATCCCACTCTAGGGACGTATTTTACCTCGACGCAGATGAATTCCACCGCTGAAATCAACGCCACAATGATCGCTGGTCGCTCTCCTGCGGCGTCGCCTGCAGAGCTTCAAGCTGCAATCGTGAGGATTCTCGAGCTCTACCCAGATGATCCCTCACTGCGTCTGTGCTATCCCTCTCGGACTGCTCTGCATCCCATGTTGACTGCCACAATTCAGAGTCGCCATTTGGAACCGGAAACGAGACGTTCGGTCTGAGCAGCCAGTATAAACGTTACGCAGCGATCGGTATGAAATCCTGCTGCTTTGACGGCGTTGTCTTTTCCTCATGATTTCCCTAGATGGCGATATGGATTTCCACTCGCAGCGGCGCTTTTGGATCAACGCAGCAGCCAACGCGAGTGTTCCCACGTACGGTTACTTGTTCACGGAACCTCAGCCGCAACTCGCTCCTCAACTCGGCGGTGAGTGTTGGAATTATCTGGAATGGAACGCAGCCCTAAATACAGAGCCTTCTGTCCAGTCGAGCACGGATCTGAGATTGATTACATCTTGGGGGGACTGAACGATACATCCACTTCGTCCGTGTTGCTCAGCCGCGTCATGATGGACTACTGGATTTCGTTCGCCACGAGTCTTACCCCCAACGACGGAATCGGCTCCAAGCGTCCAGAATGGAAACAATTCACTCCCGCAGCGAAGGTAATTCATTTATTCGCGGAAATACCACGAGTTTCACAAATTCGATTCCTACAGTCTATCCTCCAACTCAACGGAAATAATATGACCATGATCCCTGACACTTATCGGGAGGGTAATTGCTTTCCTCGCCTAGATTCTTGTTTATGCTGAGTCTCTGCAGAGCAAATCGCCTTCATCAACTCGAACCCCCAGATCTGGCATCATTAGCATTGTTCCCCTTCGTCTTTGTAAATTATATAGAACTGAGATCAAGATAAGATGATGAAGTGATGAAATGATGGGGAAATGATCAAATTATGACACTAACCCACATCTAAGCAAAAGGTTGGCTGACATGCATTGCACGCAAATACGTAGTTCGTCTCCGTGCCTTCTCGACACCCACTTGATTAGAAAGACCGTGTCCCTCCTCAGCTGTACTGCGTATAGTTGAATGAAATTTCACCGAACAGGGCTAGCGTGTTTTTACGGTGGTTGAACCAGGCAGGCACTTGAGATCAATAGTCTCGCCACCGCAAAAGAAAATGTGTGCTTCAAACTCGTTCTGAAGGCACACCGGATGTTGCGGTTTATGAATTGAATCGACTAAAACGCTTAGCCAAGTAAGGCGTACTAAATTATATGAATTTATGCCAATATTCAATCCGACTGGACCGTGCGGACCGTGCGGATGCGTTTTACTCTACTTAGGTACTGCGGTGGTTATTTACGGATTAGAACAAGGAAATAAATACGCTGAAGCCTAGACGCGTGGGGTATATGGATTCCAATAGGGGTATATGCGTAGTTGATATGTCGGACTTGGAACGAGTCTATCTGTTCTGTTCTGGACAGGACGTTCAGATGGGCGCATGGAAACCAGATTGCAGCGCAGACGACTCACCCGCTCTAGGCTCTGCGATTCGGCCCCAGAACGCGGGGGAAAACTTATGAGCCGCATGCGATGTCGACGCCGGTGCTGGTAGGTTGATGGAAGAGGGGGTGGAGGCTGCATCTGATGGTTTGATGATGAGATGGAAATTCTGCTAGGAAGGAGTCAGGCGCGTACTAGCTGAGGACGCGAGCCTTGTGACTGGAGCTGCAGTCACGGCTGTGGATAGAGAGAATGCGACTGCGAGACAGATGAGAGCACGAGTTGCGAACATTGTGGTGCTTCTGGGGTAGTGGACGAGGCTGGGTTTCAATACTGAACAGGATTCGGGACCAGCCTCTTATTCCATCCTGCTGTTGAGGCGGAGGCTGCGCTCCAATTCGCCTGCCGATCATGAAATCCTCCTCCTCCGGAGTCATCCCTACTCAGCTGTGCTCGGCCTGACGCGGTGTGATTCACCTCAGCTCTCGACGGTGTATGCACTGAAACGCGCGTGGGAGCTACAGCTTTGGCGGAGCCGATACAAGCGTGGATGGATTCAGAACTTTTCACGGCGCAGGAGGCCGTTGCCTAGGTCCCGCACCGTCTCATTCTGCACTGCCCATCGCGCGAGAATCGAGATTGGGTATCGCTGGTGCGTGGCAAAGAGTTGCCTTTTCGAGAATACACGGGGCAGCGGCAGGGATAATGAATTGCATATCGGCCAGGAAGGGAGCCTGAGAAAAGGATAGTTGGGGCAGAGGAGAGAGGGGAGTCAAAAGAGAAATTGATCACGATCAGATATGCGCATCAGCCATGTGACACGGGAGTGATGCGACTTGATTGATTATAAGCAGTATCTAATCTTGTCGACCCACTTGAGACAACCCCCGGACCGGTGTTAGCTTTTGTCATCGGTGAAGCGCACAGAGCTCATGGACTAGATCATTGCTCCGGCGAGGTTTGATCGAAAGAGACCCGGAAATTCGAATGCGAGCAATTTACACCCATCCATTAAGTAGCTGTGGCTTGAATGGGGCCACGAAAATTCTTTCTATCTTCCGTACGAGCCTGATTCATCTCCACAAATTCCCTCACTTGTACCCAATCCCGACACTTATGCACGACCAAATGCCCCGCCGCGGCCGGATCACACGTGCCATCCGGCTCGCATATCGAAGTCGTGGGATCGAGCGTCAGGTCGGCCGCGCACGTGAGCGCCTGGCGCAGCTGGCTGACGCACTGCGGAGCCAATGCGTCCTCGGGAACGCGCATCCCGGACTCGTGCTTGTCTTTGTGCGCTAGATACGCGGAGCGCAGGAGGTTGAGGCAGTGCAGATCGGAGTACAGCCCGATGGTGAAGTATTTCTGATCAGGAGCGGCTCGGGCTGATGGCGACCGGATTCGGCCGTCTGATGGGATGAGAGAGGCCCAAGCGGCGTCGTCCGCGATGCGGTATTTGTCGGCAATGAGGCTGAATTGAAGGGCGGCAACTCGTTCAGAGGTAGCCGCGCTCCAAGTTCTGATGCTGAAAATGCAACGATTGTCAGGTTGGTCAGGTCCTGTGGTCAGACGAAGAACTCCCGCACCGAACGGCAGATTCAGTTGGCGGTAACTCAGCTCATTGAACATGAGACTGAAGGCAAGAGATACAACGAGCCAAGTTGTCTGAGTGGAGGTGAGCATCGAACGAGGTATGGAAGGAACTGAAGGAACTAGGTACAGCCGATCAGATGCCCATACTGCTGTGAAGAATCACATAACTTTGGCTTTCGGGATGAGGTCAAAAACTGCCAAACTGATAAGCCTATGCGCGGCCCCTAAAACAAGTACCCATCACCCGTCGGGCTTCTCGCCGCTGATGTTGCACTCTTCTAGTAGCGACTATTGAAAGCTCGATCCTTAGTATCGCTGTCATCGCGATGATGGTTATCGCGACCAGGGAGCTTTATAAGGCGCAGTGAGTGGAAGCCTGGTCATCTCAAAATCCAGAAATCTTACCAAGATGATCGTGAAACTCGCCGCTTTTTTGTCCCTGTTCTCTATGGGCCTGCTCGCAGCCGCTGCACCGACCGAACCCCGTGCGTAGACACTCTCGCATCCACAATTCCGGAACTTGTTCTTGATATCGATGCTCCTTTAGAACTTGCTCGGCGTGCACAGGACAGCGTCGCCAATGGTACGTGTATTCTTTCCATGCGGGAGACAGACTCACGGGTGGCTGACTGATGCAGCACCGTTCTGGGGCCGCAAGTCGGAACCCGTCCGCGTAGCACGATGGGTTGATTCCCGTGCATGACTATACCATTATGCGCATCTCCGACTTATAACTCTCCCCGATGTTACTGAAAACTTGAATACATAATCGGGCCGTCCAGCGATGGTATCGGTGTTGAACTCTGGGGGTGACTTGCAACGACAGGCAGCGTTCGGTTTCCGACATGCGACTTTGTGCGCGTGGTCAACAACGAGGCCGCCTTCACAAGCGGGAGAATCAACTTGATGGGCAGCAACGGTTTTGATGAATTTTGATTGCAGGGTCTAGGAGAAACGACCGCACTGATAAGCCCGTCAATCTGTAGTAGGGCTGGGTAAAATTAAGATTTTGGCTTGCAATTTACGTCTTTTTTGCAGGGGGTCTGTGGTAAAATACACAAGGCCTGTATTTTATGTAATTTACCGGCGCCGCCGGCCCGAAATTTACGGCAATTTACTGTAATTTACGCCTGTAAAGTATGTAATTTTGGTACATTTACTACGCAAGGCCCTTGCGTGCCCATGACACATCTTCTGGCTTCCACGGCGCCTGTGGAACAGCAGCTGTTGTGGCTTTACCCCTGCTACTTCCTTGCTGAGCACCGGATGGACCGTCCTCACTAGGGAAAAGACGACCCAGCAATGCACCACATTCAAGGTTGATGCAGGTCTCAATAGACAGTCGAGTGAGATTTGTGGAACGGAGCTCTTGATGAGTATCCTGATCCATAGAAGCAAGAACCGTGCTGAAACAGGACAGGATTAAGATGAAAATTTCAATGGATACCGCCACATTGACTTAGATGGCATATCCTGATTTTAAATCAGAAATCATGTTTCCTTGGGCCTAGATGGGCCTTGAGCAAATTTTACAATAATTTACATCCAACCTGGGACCTTCCAGGTAAAATATGTAATTTACACTGTAATTTACCGTAATTTATGGGTGTGTAAATTACAGACCGCAACTTTACCCAGCCCTAATCTGTAGTAAGACTCTGCCGAATAGGGGGGGATAGACGGAGAAGTTCTATCGAGAGCTTTGAGGTCAGACGCCGTCCGCTAAATTGATTTCCCTCAGCCTTCTTAGCGCATGCAGCTTCGACTATCGCACGGTGATGTAAATCGCGTGAGACTAGCCCTAAATATAAGACAAGCTCGGGAATTGGAGAGTCGGCAGACCAACAGCAATGATCATCTTGAAAGTTGAAACTCATAGCCCTCCCATACTTTGCCACTAGATAGTGGCCCTATTCTATAGTATGGAGGCTAGGAACAGCAAGCTGATTAGCGAGCAGTTCCATCTTTGATGGACCCCGAAATGATGGGGTCCCATGTTTTTCTCAACATCGGTGATTGTTCATAGGGAGGGCCGCCAATGGCGCACAACTGGTTGTTTTTTTTGGATTGTTTTTTCAGGAATGTGAGGAAACCAATCATTAATTGATAAGGAGAGAACTGGCTGTCATGTGTGGAGGCCCGGAACTATATGCTGATAAGCGGCTCTGCATATCACTGATGACTTGATATGGCATCTTCATGTCTGATTGAGTGGTTTCGGGGACCCCATGAGACTCAAACACGGTCTGCCTTGAATTAGTCAGAGTACCTAATGTTTGCTAGATTCAGAAAACATATGTTGCAAAACACAATGAACAAGTGCTGCAATATTACAGGTACTACTTGAGGCTAGACAACTGTAAGAACTTGCAATATCCAGAACAAGCATGCTGGTCAGGAAATTGTTCAAAGACCCTGCCCAAATTGCTGCCTCCAAATTGCCTGCACTTGAGCATCCTGCCCCAGATGAGTTGTGCAAATGTGTGCCTATGATCAGACATACAGAGAAGTCATAATTTGAGGGTCTGTCAGCAGTACCCTGGAACCTGAAATCACTGAGACTTGACTCAAAGGATCAACCCACATGAGGGCTGACCTTAAATATCCGAAATGAAAACAAGACCACTGGTCTTCTTGTCCTGAATGTGCTGTGTGAAGCAAAGAAACACCCCCAGACAATGAAATTCAGGTGGCAAAGTTGAAATCGGAACAGCGCTGTTGTTGTTGATGAATTTAATGAATCTGCCTGTTGATGATGTGAGTGCAGTTATCAAATGAGAAGCGGAAAGTTTGGTATTGGTCCCAATAAGCTCTTCAATCAAGTACGTGCACCAGAGAGTGGTCATCAATTTGCTCAAGGCACCTGCAGCAGCAGAATTGTGAACAAGTGCAACACTGCTTTTGATTAATCAAATCTGGAAGATGGGAAGGTCCTCAGGAGGATTTCCATGCTTGAACAGGAAATCATTGATGAATGAGTGGGTGAACTTGAGAATGGTAACACTGCAAAACACAAGGATTGCAACAAAATTCTTCCACATGGTGTACCAATTCACATGTTTGGATTCCCAGAGAATTATGGAATTCTGCATTTTAAAGTGCGTGTCCATCTCTTGTATCCGAGTGTTGCTTACGTTCCATTACTAGATCAAGGTTGACTTGGTTAGCGTTCAAAAAGTTTGCAAGATGTATGCTCCACCAGACCATTCTTCTGGTTCCTCATGACTTTCATGCTGTGACCTCTGACATCTATTGTCACTTCAAAGAGCCCCCAGTTCATTGGGAATGATGCTAGGGTGTTTATCTCCACTTGCTGCACAAAATCAAGCAGCTCAACAAGCATCATGCTTTTGATCAGACCATTGATGAGTGATGGGGCCACATTCTCACTGAGGCAGCAGACAACAAGATCCCCCTTATTCCCAATCTCAAGCAGCTTTGAGGCAGTGATGGAGTTGGCAGTCCCACTGAGCTGCTATACTATATAGGAGGTGTCAATCAGGGCAACGGTGTTGGTAGGTCAATCTAGTAGTTTTTTCTGTATATTTCTCGTCCACCACTCAGGTCAAGAGCATCATGCATGGCTCAATGCTCTGCTTGATCATGTTGAGGAAAATAGGTCAAGGGGGTCAATTAGGGAATGGTAGAATAAGTTTGCAATAGCAAGATAGGATGAATAGAATGCTCTAGGGAAAACAGACACCTGTACACGACATACAAGCCTAATTATATAGTAGTAATACTAGTAATCTAGAATATTCTCCTATTTACCAGTATACATTCAAATGCTGTAATATTGTTCTTGATGGTTCTGGGACAGCAAGCTGCATCTCACAAACTCTAATTGTTGAGCACTGGGGAGAGCGTCTAGCAGCTCACCTGTGTGAGTGAGAGCTTAGTGTGGGCACTATGCAGGAGTAGTCAAGAGACTTGTATTAAAGGGTAATAGAGCCCTCCTTATATATGATACAGGGGGCTGTTTGTGTCTATTTGGGACAAGTCGACATGACTCTAGATGACACGTGATGGAGTCATAGATGTGTATGACAACATCCATCTTGACAGATGATATTTGATCGACACTTCCCCACGCTGAAAACCACAGGATACTATCGATGACCCACTTCTGCAAACACTTTGATGGTGGCCTCGCTAGCTTGCATAACACACCAAGAAAAAAAAAATTGAGGATACTAAATTTAGAAACCTTGAGACTGTCTTCATGAAATTTACTTGCTATCTGTGGGCAGAGGATGAAGCCACGCAGTTGCCAAAATGATCACTTTTTTTGGCGGGGCTGACCCCCCTTTTGAAATTGCTTGTCACACGGGGTCACACTTTGATGCAATCTGGCATGTCTTGGCAATGATGTGGCCTGACTGGAGGCAGGTATTGGTTATTGCACGCGGGACTTAAAAATTGATGGCCTCTGTCACACATGCTCCGTTCTCATGAACTGCAAGGACTGGACTCAGGATATATTAACCATGCGCTACCAGTAGCAAATCTAAGGGTGTGAACTTTTTTCCGCATCAAAATACAAAATCTCTGGGTCAAGATAAGCAAAAAAGTGTTCTGAAAGTAGGTTTATGGTCTCAGGTGTAATTATTTCAAAATATGGAATGTATATATTTTACAGGAGCATTGAACAGCTATATATGAATCTCTGGGAGTCCATCCAGGACACGTTGAGGGATGTGGAAGCCCAGGAAATGTGTGTTCATCATGGATTGCAGATCAGGGTGCAATTGCAAATGTGGGTCAAAGATAGTAGTGTTTGAAAACAAAATCTTCATCGGCCATTCCTTCAGGACGAGTTGAACTCAAGTCCTAGTTGGTGTCATAGTTCGGCCACTTTTTCATCTTATCATTGACGATCTTATCTTATCTGGGCACAACTTATCTTATCACGGATCACGGCATCAGACGGTCCGGGCTAGGGGTTCCAGGGGTTATCTCTATCAATTCAAGGCTGCGCAACATATGCTCCAGAAGGTTCTACTACAACCCATGACCAGTGCTCCATGCGGTACATAGCCTTATGACTCATTAGTTGTAGATATGACTCAGACTGGATTTGGGTATAAATACTGTAGCTAATTGGTTGTATTCTCCAGGCTTTGAATTGACTTCTCTTTTCGACTTTGTTTTTGGGTTGATTGTCACATAATTCGAAGACTCCCCTCATACTCTTGTACCTCCTACCTCCTACCCTGCATCCTGCACCGCTACGCCCGCGATATACTCTACACCCTTGACAATCCACTCACCCTTTTACCAAATCATCTAGTCGTCCTCCGCCATCGCAGTCAAGGGTTCGTATCAAGCAAACAGCACCAGGCCACGGGTAACGTTGAGCCTGACCCAAGCCTTACGGTAGCTACAAGGAGTGCTGCGGAGACCTTTGGGAAAACGGACCTCGGGATCATTGGGCACGTGAAGAGATAGGCCCGGGATCTTTTTGCTAGCAAAAGAACCCTCCCTCAAGTGCTTGTACAGCACACGAATCCACCATTTTGTTCTGATTCCCATCATCATCTGGGAGTCTGTCTCCTCCTCCCATTGTACCCTCGTCGCCCGATCTGGCGTACCAAAACCAACCCGGGCCCTCTAACCCCTGCCTCGCCCTCCCACCGCCTGAAGACGAGATCCCAGATCTTGACGAATTACCCTCCGAACAACCACCCTCACCTCCACCTACCACACCAGCTCGTACCATGACAGGACACCGCATCACTCTCGCCGCCAACCCTCCCTACTTCGATGGTGACAAGTCCAAGTATCTGGGCTTTGTGGACTCTTGCACCACATATATCGGTGCCTATCAGTTGGAATTCTCACTGGATGAGACCAAAATCCTCTTCATTCTTTCCTACCTCTGTAACAAGGCTGGCACAAGCTGCGCCGCCTCGAGAGGGGCGATGAACTGGAAGCAACATAACTTTGGGGGATTTGAGGGACTGAAGGCAGAGGTCACGGTCAAGACCTTCTTGGAGGAGCTGCAGAGGGCTTTCGGGGACTCCAATGCAGAGCAAGTTGCTGCTGCCCGACTCATGTCCCTGCGCCAAAACAAACGGTCCTTCGTGGACTACATCTCCGACTTTGAGATGTTGGCTGCAGACGCGGGATACAACGTGGTCGACACCACCGACAACAAGGGCAATTACAAGAAGAAGGACCAAGACAATATCCTCATTGAGTTCCTGGAGCGGGGACTCAGCAGCGAAATCGCTAGTCGCCTCTACAACACGGGTGTCCCTCTGCCCAAGGCCTATGGGGCGTTCAAAGCCTGGTGCATCAACATCGAAGCCAATGCTCTACGCAACCAGCTATGCAAGGCATCTTATGGACATCCCACGCCACGACCACCCCCCCAATTCCGCCCTCAGGCTGCATCAGCCGCACCTGCACCTGCTTTGGCCCGACCGGCGGCCAATGAACCAGTTCCGATGGAGATTGATCGCACCAACGCCCGCAGCCGCAACATCATCTGCTACAACTGTCAGCAGCCCGGGCACATCGCGCGGAACTGCCCAGAGCCAAGGAAGAAGCGCACGTTCTTCAATCGGGCCACGATGCTTGAAGAGATCGAGAACGGGGACAAGGACAATGAGTTCCTCAAGGAGATCGCTGAGAAGCTGCGCAAGAAGGGTTTTTGAAACGCTCCACTCCTCTAGCCAAGGAGATGGAGTGTCCGGACTATGGACGTTTTTCTGACTTGTTTCGATTAAAGATACAAACAATTCTCCTCATACATACACGATCTCAGACTCACTACGTACTAGTATTCACGATTTTCTCATTGCCGATATGGAAAAAGAATGCCAAAGAAAAATAGCTTTAAATAGAGAGTATTTACAGAGTAAAAAGGATCAGAGGGCTGCAGATAAATTAATTTTGGACTCCTACGTATTTATGGCTCGTGGAGAAGGAACCACGTCAACAAAGACCGAAAAGGGGAGCATCGCTCTGGAGGCTCAATCCTTGGAAAAGGAGGAAGCGCCTAAGGAATCTGCCAAAATCAAGGTTCCAGAAGCACCCAAACGCACGAGGGTGCCAGATGCCGTCCAGAGGAAATTGGCAGCCAAGAAACAGAAGGGCCCCCAGCCCAGCAGATTGGTGCAGGAATTGCGCAGTTACCAGGCCAAAAGAAAGAGGCATTTGATGGACGTATACGTCCAGATCACGGGTCTGGACTCAGGGAAAATGCGTGGAGTCAAGGCGCTGCTCGATAGTGGCTGCAGTACCTGCTGCATTGACACCGACGACGCACAAGCAGAGAAATTGGACATCCAAGAGCTTCCACAACCCATCGTGGCACGAAACGCCGACAACACCAAGAACATCAGCGGCCGGATCACACATTACGTTGACTTGAGGATGAGAATCGGTCCTCATGTGGAGACCCGCACATTACTCCTGACGTGTCTAGGAAAAGCCCGGATCTTCATCGGTCTGGATTGGCTGACGGAACACAACCCTGAGGTGGATTGGCAGGAGCAGACAATGAGATTCAGCCGATGCCCAGAGCAGTGTCACATGAGGGGTCCCAAGGAGTACCAAGCAATGATCGACATGGATGCAATCGACCTGGACACGGGTGCAACAGATCTGGAAGAGGGTGAATCAATCCTGTTGGTCGACTTTGGGAAGGAAGTGGATCTACGGCTGAAAGAAACGCCGGTGCAGAAATTCGCAGAAGAAGTGGAAAAGGAGAATGAGAGGATGATCGAGGGGAAGATTCCGGATCAATAACGGGAGTTTGTCAAGGTCTTTGCAAAGGAATCATTCGACTCACTGCCGGATCAACAAGCATGGGAACATGCAATCGAGCTCAAACCTGGCTCCAAAGCAGTGGACTGCAAGGTCTACCTGCTATCACGAAATGAGCAGGTCAAACTAGACGAATTCCTGGAAGAGAACCTAGCCAGTGGACGGATCAGGCCATCAAAATCGCCCATGGCATCAGCGTTCTTCTTTGTCAAAAAGAAGGATGGCTCGCTACGCCCCGTTGATAGGCTGGCTACCAGACGCGCTCTGCACCAGCTCTGCAAGGGCGTATTTTTGCGCTTTTTACAGAGTTTACTCTTGAACCACTCGGTGTATCGTGTCGCGGTTAACAGTGTTGCGCTCAGTAGGACTTATGGGTCTACTGCCCAGTCGACGACTGTGGGTAGTGTCGACGATAGCAAGGCAGTCAGACCACTACTGTGGAACTGGTCTTATGAGTCTACACCAGGCTCAGGGCCATTAGTGACGAACGCTTGGACCGCGACCATTCCCCAAAAAGGGATATGTCGTTGCGTCGACTTCTCAATAAGGGTCATTCTCTGCAGATGGGAACTTGGGCTGAAGGGCTGAGCAATGCGCGACGTTCTCAATAATACAACTACAACTGGACAGGACTTGGCGTTACGAGATTGAACCAATCTTGTCGCGGCAACTCCCGGTTTTTGAGTTGGACGTTTCCTCAGATCATGCCACGACGACGACTTGTCACATGTCAGGATCCATTCGATCACGGGACATTGTGGACGCGTCGCGGTGACACTTCCAAGTGTCACGGCGAGTCGCGCCCATACTCAAACACACTAAAATTGACACGGCTAGATCCGTGAACCAAACCATGTGAGGGACGACTGGCGTGCCTAGTGCCATACGGCTTCTTGGGGCGCCCACGTTGGTCTCACATGCCAAGACATACCCGTTGGCCAATCCAGCACGTCGTATTCCAAAAGTATGACGCGGTGAGTTGGCCCACATCAAAAGTATCATATGGACAATGGGGCGGGGTCCTGATCACTCAGGACCTGTCCGATCGTTCAAACTTTTCAATTACCCTAAAAGGCAACCGATCTTAGATAGCGTAGCTACTATGCAGTTGTACAGGACTTTACTAAGCAGCGTCGTAGACAGTATAAGTAGCACGTCGTCTCTTTGTATTAGGAAGCTTTCCCCGGACTGTGAATCACTCTCATTTCAGATTGTTTTGTACAATTTGCGTGCCGCGTGATTCCACCCTAAGAAGTTCTGCTACCCCTGCCCGGTCGCGACGAGTTGCTCCCTGAGCACTTGTAGCTACTGCGATTTGAGTTTGAGTTGAGATATCAGAAAGTCGGATTCGCCGCATCTGGTATTGTCGCGGCATTTAGTGTCGTCGCCTTAGGGCTTTGTTGAGATCGTTCCACACCTCTAGCTTGGCAGTGCGTCGACTAGTTGTGCTCGGGTTGTTTTGATCAGTTGGCAGTGCGTCGACTTGAGAACTTTGGTTCCACACTTCTTGCTTGGCAGTGCGTCGACAAGTTGTGCTCGGGTTTTGGACATTGGATATTGGCTGTTAGTTGGCAGTGCGTCGACACGGCATTTTGGTTTACTAGTTGGCAGTGCGTCGACTCAGTACTTTTGGTTGTGTCAGTTGGCAGTGCGTCGACTTGACATTTTGGTTCTACTAGTTGGCAGTGCGTCGACTCAGTATATTGGTTGTATCAGTTGGCAGTGCGTCGACTTGATATTTGGGCTTTGCGTCACCATCTAGACGCTGCCGCTACAAGGGATCTTCATACTCCGTATTAAGCTCTGACTTGTTATATTGTTGGTTGTGATTGGATTAGTGGTGATTGTGTTTGTGTAGAAGATATTGGTTGAGATACCATTGTTTGCTATATATATATATATTCTTGTCGTCGACTCCGTCTCCGCGACTATTGGATCTGCGTCTATTGAGAGTTGTGATACTGGTGCTCTGTCCACCCCGGAGCCCTCGCATCTTTCACACACTGAGAAGCTGATTACGAGGAGTGTGAACGTGTTTATATTCGGGTTTACTTTCATAGTAGATTCACTTGTGAGCACGCCCTCAGCATTTCATCTGGAGCCCACCGCGAGGGGCTTCTAAAGTTTCATAAACTTTAAAAATCAATAAACCGGATTCTTTACCGCGACGTCGGATAGAGACCAAGGGTTTATCCCGCGAAGCAGTTTATTTCGATCCCAAGCTCCTGCGCGACCTCTTGAGGACCAAGCGGAGATTGAGACTGAAGGAAACGCTTCAACTTCAGGACCTTTCGAAAAACCACGAAGGTCTGCAAGACATAAAACACCTTTGTATCTACCACCCTTGCCCTCCAAGGCAAAAGGAAGACAAAGAGTGGATTCGACGTCGAAGCTCCCAGCTTTAGACGCAGCTACCTCGAGTTCGACGACAATCAGTCGATCTCAGACTAGCTCACAAACCCTCTCAGAATTGTCTAGTAGCGTCACCGCTACAAACACGAATTCTAACAACATCCCTACTTCCCCTGTGACTTCAGTCGCGACAACTATGGCTCCAAAGACTGGGTTCAAAATCCCCCAACCTTGGGACACAAGTAGACCTATACTTGATGAAAAGGATCCCCTGTCGATTGAGGCATATTTGCGTCACTGCGCGCAGATCGTGGAGGATGGTGGCATCACAGATGTCAAACAAGCAAAAAGCATGTACATCCGTTATTTGCCGTCGCGGCAAGTGATGGACGTATGGGAAGGTCTCGATACCTATTCCGACGACACGAAAACTGTCGCGGAGTTCGAGGCCGAAATCTTAAAGGGATACCCTGAGGTGTCCAAGCGAAAAACGGGGACCATGGCAGATCTAGACAGACTCTGTCGCGAGAACCGTGGAATCAAAATTACGGATGAGGGTGATTTGAAGCGCTTCGGCCTTCAAATGTACAGTCACTACAAGCGACTGTCAGTCCCTCCTGCCATTATTACCAACAAAGTCGCGTGTGAACGCTACATGCGTACTTTGGACTCTGAGTTCAGTACCGTCTTGAGGAACGCTTTGGCTACGAGTCAAGTATTCAACAAGCGCTACCAAACTCGCGCCTGGATAACAAATGCTAATGTCCCCACGACTGGAGTCAATCGGCAGGACGACCCCATCCAGCTAAAAGAATTAATGACGATGGCGGAAGAAATGGCGTCGACGTTGAGTAACGAAGACGAAATTCCCATAATCGCGCGACCTCCTAAGGTTCGCTTCGACTATGAGACTAGTCCACCCAACCATGCTAAGGTTGAGGAGTTGGAAAACTCGATTTCCAACTTGAAGGACTCATTTCTTCTACACCAAAAAGAGCTCCAGACTCAGTTGCAGGAAGCGCTGAAGACGTTCGTACAGACTGCTCGCGAAGCGCCCATACAGCGGTCGCGGCCAGTAGGCAACAACTCTTCTGTGCCCCACTTCGAAAGTCGCGCACAAGGAGGAGCTGCCGCACGGAACGACGACTGTCGCTACTGTGGACAAACTGGTCACTGGTCGAACGAGTGCCCACTCAAGAGGTCTCACATTGAGAAAAACCTTCTCAAAGTCGACACCAAAGGGATGTGGAGGCTCTTCAACGACAGCTTCTTACCAAATGGAGAAGGGACTCAGGGGCAACGAGTAGAGGCTTACTGGAAGAAGAAGGGCAAGTCCGTCAACTTCCAAGACTCCTACTACTTGGATCAGTTCGATAGCTGCAACAATGATGATATGTCCGACTACCCTGAAGAAGTGGCAGATGAGATACGCTCCCTTCGAAGTCAACTCATCCAATACGAGAGGAAGTCGTCGCGACCAACCCCAGAAAGTCGCGCTGAGCCAAAGACTCAAAGAGCTGCATCTGGTTCTACCAGTAATGCAATAGAAAGTGCCATGGGCCAATTCATGCAGAAAGCCATGACCGACGCCATGGCCGGCTACTTCAACAACATGAACAGTGGTTATCCTCAGACTCAGGAGCAGTTCATTCAAACCCGTCGTGGTGCGAATAGCCAACCTGAGCGCGACGATAACAACTCGGGTTTCTAAATGGTTCAAGGAAGGGGGCTAAACCCACAAACTCAGCCAAGCCCTCTGAGGACCATGATAAACGAGCTGAGCGACGAGAGAAACCAAGAAAACCTGTGACTATTGAAGAAGTTAGTGATAGCGACGATGATGAGGAATCAGTGCGCGACAACGTCGAAAAGAGAAAGGAACTACCGTTTGAGAAAGTCAAGCCCGTTCTACAAGAACCAGTACATTCTTCAAAAGCGCGCGTTCCAGATAAATACCAGTTGCGTGCACCGATTCAAAAGAAGGCTGTGGCAGAAGCAGTCTACGACAAAATGAAAAACGCGTCAGTCGACGTCACTGTGGGTGAACTCCTAGCAGTTTCGGGGACTGTCCGCGACTCCATTCTGAAGGACTCTTCGAAGAAACGAGTACCGGTTCAGAAGTCCATGCTTCAAGAAACTGGTCGCGTCGTTGAAGACGTTTGGGATGGAGAACTGAGCTACAACCTAGTCAGTGCTAAGGAATTGCCCGAACCTGTGTTCTATCATAACACAGTTGAAGGAGAAATTCCCATTGGCGCAGTTGTCGCGATGGACCCATATGAGATGTACTTGGAGTCGATACCCTCTAATGAGAACCCAAGACATGTCTATGTTGGTGATTCGTCGGCTGCTCTCAGAACGATAAACGGACGGATTAACGCGCGTCTCGACGCGGACTGCATCCTAGACAGTGGATCTCAGATTGTATCGATGGCTTTCTCAGAGGCCGTCGACGCACAATTGAGCTGGGACCCAAAAGTCGTCATCTATATGGAAAGTGCAAATGGATCTATCTCTAAGTCACTGGGATTAGCGAGAAATGTACCCTTCAGGTTTGGGACCATCCTGGTCTACCTGCAAGTGCACATTTTGGAAAGTCCAGCTTATAAGGTGTTGCTCGGCAGACCGTT